TCCGCGGCTCTGAGTACTAGCGTTTCTCGATTCTTTATTTTGAAGTTTGACGGTGCTCAATTTTCTTATCCTCTGAATCTGCCGAACTGAGCAGTGATCTCTCTCGTAACTACATCAACGGCTCCATGCCTGCTGCTAATTGGACTTCCGCTCCTCTGAAAAACTTGTAAATCACACTATTCCGATCCTTACACCCTCATCAACGCAAATTCGTTTTCTATATTCTGTGGTCCAGGGGTTACTATAGATGGTAGTGGATCTAACAAAGAGCTCTGCTGTGTACCACTGCAGAAACCTTCTGGCGAACCGTATCTCAGGTCCGATTCCTGAGGAGATAGGCAGCATTTCAACGCTTGAAACACTGTAATCCCTCTATATCCTGTTCTTAAAAGACACTTTATGAACAACCGGCATTATATATTGGTAATAATTGTTGATCGGCGTGTTTTATACCCCATTGAAGTTTCATTGAGAGCAACATGATGCAAGGGCCTCTTCCTCGTAGCCTCGGAAACTTAACCAACTTACGAAGACTGTAAGCCTCTAGTCTATGGTATATTTTTCTCTATTAATTATAGTATCGTTCTTTTATGTAAATCAAAAAGAGAAGAGAAGAAACTCTAGGTAGAATGATCGTCACTTATATGACTAGTAAAAGAAAATAACTGACAGAGCATCACGTCATTTCAGCCTTCTTTCTTGCAACAACTTTTCCGGTGAACTTCCCGACACAATGAGTAACCTGAAGAATTTGAGAGAGGTGTACGGTTCCTGCTCTTATATTTGTTGGACTCTTTCATGAGATTAAAGATCTCCTTCGTATTAATAATTGGTCCCGGATGATTTTTTCAGTAAGCTAGATGCGACCGAGATATCTGGGAAGATACCAAGCTTCATTGGGAGCTGGACGAACCTAGACAGACTGTAAGCTCGGCTGTCTTTCTTTATCTTTTCCGGTGCAGTTTATCATTTGAAAAGGATGTCTTTACGACATAGTATTCTCATGGGCAATTATACCTTTTATAATGTTGCAGTGACATGCAAGGAACATTTATGGAGGGTCCCTTTCCGCAAGAGTTCTCATCATTGCAGAAGTTAACGCAGTTGTACGTGTGGCTTTACCCTTTTCCCGTACTCAGGGTTGTTGTCTGTGTTAGTTCACTGTAATAATAATAGCCATGTTGGCTTTCCTTTTGTAGGAGAGTTTCTGACCTGAAAAACACGGGCGGCAGCTTCCCTTCCCTTGAGAAAATGCACAATATGCAACACTTGTAAGACTCCGAATGGCATTTCTCCACCCGCATGAATATATTTTTGGCAAATTGTTGACAGGTTATTCTGCGTGAACACTACAGGGTTCTGCGAAATTGCTCGATATCTGGCACCATCCCGGACTACATTGGACAATTTACTAAACTGCAATTCTTGTAAAGTTCCTTCAATTCTAAATATCTGCATAACAGATTTTTGAAATATTTTAGGCTGAAAACATGTTTCTATGATGCCTTGAACATGCGGTGACATTCTGCATCTTTTCATTCGTTTAGAAGATTTGCATGTGATAGGCACTGCCACAGATACCTGTGGAATACCTCCTATGTTGTAGAATTTTTTTTTTATTACCCATCCATGAGCATGTATTTGAGTATAAGCTTCTTTTTTCTTTTTTTCCAAAGAACGTTTAGGGATTGAGCTTCGTTCAGATATTTGATTCAGTTAACCTTTTCTGATGATACCGTGTACAAGGCCATTGATGTCTCCAGCGATCGCCCGTTGAAATAATATTTATGAGCATTCATACAAAAGTTCTTATTTTTCTCTTCTTCACCCCAAATTTTTTCAAAAAAACTTTAGTCGAGAACTCTAGCCATATCATATACCTGCAAAGAAGTCAGAGGTACTAATTATCAGAGATATAGAAAATGCTTCAGCTCTGCACTAAGTTATCGTGTGCAATCTACTTTAATAAGCGAGGATGTAATTGTGACGTGTAGTGGTACCAACCTTGGCCAGGATTTTATGGTATATACTTTTTCGAACAATGCTTAGGAGGTTGGAAATTTTTGTAACCTTAATATTGAAACCCATTCTCGGAAAATGGATGAATTTTTGGTCGAAATTCCTGTCTTTTGGACGTAAAACTAGAAAACTGTTGACGTCAAGTTTACCCCCACACTTGTTTCTGCATCAGTGATTTTCATCTAGCCATTTTTCTCGCACTCATAATTGTTAGACTATAGACAATATGGACTGCTCATATTTGTCTTGAAAAGAAGACTTGTAACTTGGAAATCATATTGGCTGTCATAGGTAGAAGAATTATTTTATTTCCGAATTTTCATTATTTCTTATTGACTTCTGATGCAGAGATCTGAGTTTTAATAATTTGACGGGCGAAATACCAGAAAACTTTGCGAGACTCGATTCCTTAAATACTATGTAAGTTACTGTGGGTTCGATTTACTTGATTCAACTTAAAAGGCCAGTAGGAAAATCCGAAAAGTCATAGCTTTTGCTCTTTAAGCAATATTTCGAGCGATAATTTGATTGTATTTCACATGTGGTGCTAATTTTTCGTAATCAGGTATCTTACAAGCAACAAAATTACTGGATCAATACCTGATTGGGTTAAGAGACCCCAACAATATATGTATGTTGTCTACTTTTTTTTTTTGGCGTTTTATATCCTAACAAATTGTTGGTTTCGTATGAATCAACATCATACTAGAATGTTTAAAATTTCAGGGATATCTCTTACAATACATTCACCGATCTTTCATCTGCACCACCTAACTGTGAGCAAGAATCACGGTAAGCAGACTTTTTGTCGGTTGGACCTATGGAATTGAATTCTTGTTTCTGGAACTAAACAAGGCTTACCTGACTCGCAGGAACTATGTTGCCAGCTTTTCGTCAACAACAAGTGACTCGTAGGTTTCTAGCATTCTTACAGTGTATATTCTGGGTAGATCTAGTGTCTAAATCATTCACTCTCTTCGTTTGACCTTTGTAGGATACCGTCATGTTTTAGAAAGGATCTCCCCTGTGATGGCACAGCTAAAAGTGGGTATAAAATCTCCTTTCTACGGGACAGCTTCTGCACCTTTTCAATTTGATTTTTTCTTTTGGGGGATTTGAAGAAAACATCCTTTGACAATGGCATTATCTTGATTAGTTATATATTTGTCTTTGGAATTTCTGCAGACTATAACCTTTTCATAAATTGTGGAGGTGAAAGTGTGACTGTTGGTGGCAATGAATATGAACGTGACTTATCATTTGAAGGCATATCCAAATATTACATTTCCAGTAGTGGAAAATGGGCTTATAGTAGTACAGGAAACTTTATTGGGGGAGCCCAGCAACGATTTTTAGCAGAAAATGGGTCAACATTGACAATGTCCAACGCACAATTGTACACTTCTGCTCGTTTGAATGCTCTCTCTCTCAAATACTACGGTCTATGCTTGCAGTCTGGAAATTATACAGTCACACTGCACTTTGCTGAAATAGTTTTTACTCCTGTCCCAATATATGGCAGTCTTGGAAGGCGTGTGTTTGATGTATCAATCCAGGTGATTTGGATTCTTTGTACTTCAAATCTTGATGTATAGATATAGCTTAGTACTGGTGTTTTCTTACAGACCTCCGTGATACCCTTTTCATTTCTTCACGACTTTTCATTCCTTATTATTTTTTCCCACTATCATTCTCTTGAGTGGGTTGATATCATATGAACTGATTCTTATCTAAACTTCGTTCAAACATGGGGTTGATATCACAGGATACATTATATTATTTCTTGCAAACGAGAAATCATTTTTTCTAACACGTTTGAAATATATTTGTTGGCATTCAGTTATTCCCTTTTTTTATTTTTGTTGGTGTTTGTATGTTAGTAGTTGTGCACTGTAGTATCGTTGTTGTCTCTCTCTCTCCCTCTCTCTCTCTCTCTCCCCCCCCCTTTCCCTCTCTCTGTTCCTAGTTGTAAATTGGGCCTGGGCTCACCATTGTAGGCTTTTTTTTCCTATTTACTTTACCAATTTCTGTGTTGCTCCAGTTGATGAAACTCTCTTCATTGGAATAGGAAAAAAAGGTGTTAACAGACTTCAACATCGTAGAAGCAGCCAATGGGATTGGTAAAGCAGTTATCAGGAATTTTACTGCGCTTGTAGAGGGCAGCACGTTGGAGATCCATTTCATGTGGTCTGGCAAAGGGACGAATTCCATTCCATATAGAAGTGTCTACGGGCCTCTTATATCAGCAATTTCAGTAACACCGAGTACGTACAGGAAGATGTGATCTGCTTTCCTATTATTATCTGATTGGTTGATTCTAATTTGTTTTTGCGGTTGAAGATTTCACACCTCGTGTGTTCAAGGACAAAAAGTTTCCAGTTGGCGCTATCATTGGAATTGCTGGTGCGTCAACTTTGTTAGTGATGATGGTGATTTTGGGTATAATATGGTTTTACCTGAGAAGGAAAGCCATTGAGAATGATGGTGAGGTGCCACTTGAATTTACCTATTAATATGTGTTGTACACAAATTCTTATGAATTTATTGGGTGGCATCTGCACGTAGCTTACCTTGACTGTTACTTTGCATGTGTTGTACTTAGAAGAAAGGAATTTGAAGTACCCTTCCTTGCATGTCGTATCGATTTTTCTATGAATATAAACAATATTGGAGTCCTCAGATTTGGTGAGAGCACAGCTAAATCTGATCTTGCATATTCTTTGCTCCCGCTGCGTATGTCTTCTATCTAGAGAAGTTGAAAATAAAGTAGCTTTAGTTTAGTTCCTTCAGTTTTCTTTTTCCTCTTTGCAACTTTTACGGTTGTCAAGGGTACTTGACGAGAAAACAAAGAGCTTGGTGTTGAGTTTCGGGTTCTTGGAATTGTATTTCAATAATGAGTTGAGGTGATATCATGAAATGGTGTCATGACGTCCTTCGCAATGAACCATGCTTGCTAACTCTCATGCACATTAGTTACATAGATGAAACTTCCTGCATGCTGTAAAATTGAATCATTAGCGGAAAGATCTGGACCATGTTTGAGCCAGACCTCACCCCAAACAGATTGGTGTTAGCAGCACTCTTCCCCTATTGCCTCCTTTATGTACAGTCCTAGTTTTGGCATAAAGTGTAAACTACTTGTCTTTCTTTTGTTAGCTGACCCACCTGATGTTTATGCCTTGAGCGATGGGACAAAGGGGTAGTCATCAGATGGTCTGCACTGGTGGGAGCGCGGAATATTTGTTCTGAAGATTACTTCAGTAGCGAAAATATAAGTAGGCATGTTTGGAGGATACTTGATCAAGCTAAAGAGAACATCGGCATAGACTTGGGACAATCTATTTATTTTTTAAGTGTTACCTACGGTCTACATTCTGAGCTTTATTGGACATTTTCTATAATTCCAAATAGTGTCATCTAGTATTGATTTTTTTTTATGATACTGACAGCTTGTATTGCCTTTTTCTTAAACTTTGAGCAGAACTCAAAGGTTTGGAGTTGCACACAAGCCGTTTTAGTTTGAAGCAAATTAAAGCTGCCACTAGGAACTTCGACCCTGAAAACAAGATTGGTGAAGGTGGATTTGGTCCTGTTTACCAGGTCAACACATAGTCATGGTTTATTCGGTTCTGATTTAGTCCTAAAGCCCTCGTGTAATTTTTAGGACCTAATATTAATGCACGCATGTTGAAAACTTTCAGGGAGTTCTTCCGGATGGCTCTATGATCGCGGTGAAGCAGCTTTCATCCAAATCAAAGCAAGGAAACCGGGAATTTGTGAATGAGATAGGCATGATATCAGCCCTAGAGCACCCAAACCTCGTAAGACTTTTTGGGTGCTGCATTCAAGGGAATCAGTTGATGCTGATATACGAATACATGGAAAATAACAGTCTTGCCCGAGCTCTATTTGGTAACCATATTACGGTTTTGCGTTCCTTGTACTTTGTGCCCCCGCTACTTTCTGGATTTTCTTGGTTATATTCATTGTGTGCGGTTGCTGGCAATGTGGCCTGAGTAACAATCACGGTGTTGACAGGTCCCGAACGGTTAAAGTTGAAACTGGATTGGCAAACGAGGCGTAAAATTTGCATAGGAATAGCGAGGGGCTTGGCCTACCTTCACGAAGAGTCGAGGCTAAAGGTAGTTCATAGAGACATCAAAACGACGAATGTCCTTCTTGATAAGGATCTGAACGCGAAGATATCGGACTTCGGACTGGCGAAACTCGACCAAGAGGAAAACACCCATATCAGCACCCGGATAGCAGGGACCATGTAAGCGAACTCTATTTCCGAGTTAATGGATTTTTATGTCTGCTATTAATTCGAGTTGTAACCATTCATTCGTCTTGTTAACTATTGACACTCGCTCTTTATCAGACTGGTAATATAGTTTCGATGATATTAACCATTTCTTTGTGGTTGGAATCAATGCGCAGTTTTCATTATAGTAATTTTGGTCATTTTGTCAAGTTAGTTTCAAGAATGTCTCACTTAATGTAGTTTATTTATATCTTATTTTCGTTCCACTTGATCCTGCTTCAAAAGCTATCTGTTGATCAAGGATGTGTTAAGGGTACCACCTCCAACACATCCTTCAGTTTTTCCATCTACATAGACTATCGTATCTCAGCAATTGGGTTTTGTCATATGAATGAATGTCCTTGAAGTGGAGAAGGTCTAATTGCTGGTTTATTTAAATATGGTCAATAGGAAAAAGTCCAGTTTGGTTTGGTGGTGCTGTCTCTCTTATGCTGACGAGAATTTTCCTTGTTTCCCTCCAGGGGCTACATGGCTCCTGAATATGCCATGAGGGGTTACCTGACGGACAAAGCAGATGTTTACAGCTTTGGTGTGGTCACATTAGAGATTGTGAGTGGAAAGAGTAACGCCAACTGTCGCGTCGAAGATGACTTCATCTACCTTCTCGATTGGGTATGCTACCTTCGGCATTTTGGATATACAACTCAGGCTCAAGATTTCTTCGTAATGGGTTTTGCATTTTTCTCAGGCCAATATCCTGCAGGAGAAGGGTGCCCTCCTCGAGCTGGTGGACCCCGCCCTGGGCACCAACTTCTCCATTGAGGAAGCACAGCAGATGCTGAACCTAGGCCTCCTGTGCACCAACTCTACCCCGGCCCTTCGGCCTGCCATGTCCGCTGTGGTCGCGATGCTCAAGGACCACACGCCCATTCAAGTCCCGATCATGAAGATCTCCCGGACGGAGAGCGCGGAGGTGATATTCAGGTCATCCGATCATAGCAAGGCCGTGTCCATGGACGGGCCGTGGGCAGATTCAACGTTGTCTATGCAGAGCAGCAACAGAGGAGACGACCACTTCCACTCCACCGCAACCCGGCTCCTCGGTGACTACACGGATTCTCAGTGAAATCTCCCGGGCATGGAGCGGTGTCCCTTACTGATTTTTTGATTTTCCTATAAATCTGTGTGGATAAAACTGACCGTTCTTGAGGAAGGATATTTGGTAGATTTCACCGCTAGATCAGTCAATGGCTTCCCAAGTTGCCAACGCGTTCATTTCTGGCCCAACACGACGGCTGAAAGTGGAGTGCCCAGGCCCCGTTTGCATGGAAGTGGGGCCGTGCCAGCGGTCAATATCTGACCACCGGTAACGGTGACGGACTGCTTATTTCTGTGCCGACGAACATCGGGCAAGGAAGCACGCAATAGGCAGTCATCATCTGACCCACCCCACACGCCGAGTCCTAGCTTCCCTCCGCTTGGAAAAAATGCTGGTTACGCAGCAGTCGAAAGGATGCTGTGTATGACGCCATTCATCCATCAACCTTAGTGTGACTGGTTCGGGGTTTTCCGTAATTGCTCGATTGGTGGCACAATCCCGGATTAAGTCGGGATATTGGCTAAGACTCGGAATAATTTTTCGGCTCCCCGGACCTAAATGGTTTTAATAAATGCCCGAGCAAAGGGATGATGTTTCTTAAAATGGACACCTGAGCTCCAAATCAGTTGTTGCGATCGCTTGAACTGGCACAAACATGCTGCATCTCCTCATCGGCTTAGAACATCTAAACGAGATGGCGCTGCACATGTCAGCAGTTGCCACCCTATGCCTATTTTGTCGCAGCGGACGAAAGGGCAGAGGAGGAGGATGTCTCCGCTCCGGCGCCACCTGCCCTCGCTCAATGCTGTACGGTGCCGTGCTACTGGTCTCCCCTTGTTGTGACCACGCCAAAAGGAAAGAGACGAAACCACCGATGAGACGCTCTGACGAATAGGGGAGATGAGACCAGTGACAAAAAGGAGGGAGGATTAGGAGACCATGGCCATAAAGAGAAGGTTTAGCTCTTCACTCTAAGCTATGACCAGTACAGGCTGAAGAGCCCTGATATTTGGGGCTCATTTCTAGAACCTCAATTCAACCCACCTGAAGATACCCAGACCAAACCATGACGTGAAACAATTTGAAAAATATTTTGCCTAAAGCGAATCCGATGTCGAAGGGTCAACCTTCTAGCTAACGGGGACCCCAATCCAATATTAACCTCTAGTTTAGCAATAAATTGTATATTAATAGGTCAATTAACTCAATGAACCTAATGTATAGTAGCTTATTTAGCCAAGTTTATAACTCATGTCTAGTGTCCATCAATCTAATGCTACTTTCATGCCAATTATCTAAGCGAATAATAATGAACTCATTTACCCAACTTGATGTAGTGTCTCATGACCAAATTGATTATAGACTAGTCATTTCGTAATAGTTAAACATACTGGTAGAATGATTGTCAACCTTATGTTAGTATTGTGTTACGTTGGATTCTAGGTAATAGCACGATAGTCCGTTTTAAAAAATAAGCGCTATCAAATTCACACCACAAATTTATAGTGGTTTGGTCTTTTTGACCTATATCCAGTTTTGAAGGTCACCGTCTTTAAGTTTCATGATTTCATAGCTCAAACAAATTCAATATTTTCCGAGCCCTTCTTCCACATTACACAGCTTCAGGTGGCCCAGATAAAGAACTTTCCACTTATCTCTTCATAGATTGCAGGTCTCAAGGACATCTGATTTCTCACAATTTAAAACAAACGAGCTGGAATGAATCTACCCGAGCTGAAGATGATTTTCCCTTTTTGTTGCACCCTCAGGTTAGAGATCATGGCTGGTGAATAAATATTCGTGCTCATCTCCTCTTCACGCAGGCTTGATCGTCTCTTTGTTGGCTCAACCAGATGGATTGATCCTACTTCCTCTTAGTTGGCGCAGTTAGGAAGCGCTGATCTATTTGTTTCAGGCTCGGGCACGGGATGAAGGCGTCGATCTATTCAATGTTTGCCTGAGAACAGGAAGGAGACGTCTATTTCTTTGTTGTTGTCTCGAGCACAGAATGTAGGCGTTGTCCCTTGAGCACGGAATTGAGCCATCGTCGTTCTAAGCCCGAGCACGGAATAGGAAGACATGGATCTTCTCATGCTCCGATTCTCTCTTCCCTTCTTCCTATTTCGTTTTCTCCTTCGCAATAGCCTTAAGAAAAATGGTGACTATGGTTTCCAACAAACTTTGCGTCTTATAAATACTCTTGAGGTTTATTTGGCCAACAAAGGAACGTGATTAAAATGGAGTGACAACGGATAGATCACAAATGCGTGCGGTACAAGGGATAGTTCCATTTTCCGAAATACCCTTGAGTCCGTAGGCTTCGTGGATTCGGATCCGTGCGGTGTAACGGATACATCTGTTTAACAGGTGGTTAAGAGAACCGAAGGGATGACTCACTCGGAGGTTCTCCGAGGGTCGGCTGACGGAAGTGCCGCTCCCACGCTTACAAAGCAGTATCATAGCTCAGGGAGAGCCTATGGCAAAGCGGACAACGTGTTTCGTCGACGCTGTATGTCTTTACCACTCCTCCATAGGTCCATCAGGGTCGACCCGTGGTGGGTTTGTGTTGTGTGCATAGTGGGCCTCGACTTCGCCTGATTGGGCCATCGGTCCGCTTTGCCATAGGATCTTGAATTACCTCCACTCATCTGGAGGAACTTCCCCGTTTGATCTGTACGCAGCGGCGGTCGGCGCATGTCAACGCCAGCAGGGGGAAGTTCCTCATTTGAACTACGCACAGCGGCGATATTTAAAGCGGCACATGTCAACACCGGCAGGGGGAAGTTCCCCATTTGAACTACTCGCAAGGGTACGTATGCTGCGGGAGTTGTGACGCGGCGGGCAGGTTAGCGGCACGGCACGGTGTGGTGCCGACAGGGTGATGCGGGCGAGTCGACGACGGGCCGCTTCGATCTCTAAACTCTTCGTCTGAAAGATTGAATTGGGTTGGAAGATTGGGGCTCCTCAGCTGCATGTTTATGGGTATTTATCTGGTTGACGTCCTTAAGCTCCAATGCTTGATCTTACCAAGTTTTCTGAATCTAAGCCTCCCTTGGCCTTTTCCTAAGAAAAAGAAAAAAAGCGAGAACCAAAACCTTTTAACATGGATAAAAAGGCCAGATCCAATATACTGTAAAATAGATCCATTACGCCTTGCATTTAAGGCCCATTAACAATATCCATTATGCCTTATTTAGGACCAATAATCATATCTATTACTTGGATTCAAGCCCAATAAACAGATATATAATTCAAGCCGAATAAACAAATTGATTACGCTTTAGCTTCAAATCCAATAATCAGATCTATTACTCCTAAGATTCAGGTCCAATAAACAAATCTACTAAGATTGAGGCTCAATATCAGATATATTAGGTTTCTTTATTTAACTAAATCAAAACAAAATGCAGAAATTTTCCACACAATTATTCGATAAATAATAATCTAATCTACATACAAAACTGTCATATCCTCTTCCGCTCGCCTAGAATGTTCAAGTTCTTCATATTATTTAGTAATTTCATACTCAAGGAAATAACTAAACTACCCTGCACATACTGTCATCATCATCGAAGCTCCTAAAACTTCCAAATCATCATATGGGATGTGATGGTCCAATCTTTCATCAATGGTTGTATATAACATTAAAAGAAAACTTTGTCCAAAATTTGACCTTAGTAATAATAAGACTGAACGTCATGTGATTATTTAAAATCAATACTCTAGGTCATACCATACTTTTAAAAAAATCAAATAAACCACAAAAGATAGAGACATTGTCTTCAATTCTCAAACAGGTTCTACCTTAAGAAGATGACAAATAGGCTACGGTGCAATGACAAATGTCTCATCTCATAAAATGGGCTTCTAACTAGCCCAAAATTCTATCAAATGAGCTTCATCTCATGGACTCAATTAGGCTTTGGTCCCATAGGCTATTAAATCGATATGACTGAAAAGAACCTTAAACCTTTGGCGAAAATAAATAATATTGTAACTTTAAAATGCTGAAAACAATATTAGACGAAATCATTGTAAAATCTCAATAATGATATATGTTAGCATGTCACAACAGATGCATTGTTGAGAAATAGGGAACATAAGTACCAAACTATTACTTGCAATATGTTTTCTAAAATAGTACAGTAGTTTTCAAGAGATTTACACGGCACCATACATGATAAAATATATCCCCCTTTATGTCCTCATAAATAGAAAATTTTCTTGCCTTTTTATTTTTCATTTGTTATAGGACATACACTATGTCTATTGACAAGACATGAAAAAAATCTTATGTGTTAGTATTAATCTTACATATACACTTATTATAGTTACTATCCCCTTTCTTGTCAACAGAAAAATGAAAGGGCTGGATTGCAATAACGAAAGTGGCTAGGGTAGAATGAGTGCTATATAGATTTGTTGAAACAATCAAGGATTTCCTCAAGAGAGTACTAGAGTGGTATGTGAGTATTTGTCAAATTGAAGCAAGATACAGATCTAATGGGGCTAGAATTATAAGTAAAGAAGGTTAAGAAGAAAGTCTCTTAGAGAGAATATGAATAGGACATAGAAAGAGAAGGGATGATATTATTAAGGTCAATTGAGAAGATGGTGAACTAGTTCACTATCGACAAGAGTATGTCTGATATAATTAGGTTTTTTAGCGTGTAAGAAATGTCAATGTTGCACAAAATTCAGTAATCAATCTATTTCAAGGAAAATAGTAAATATTTAGTCATAGGAAAGCATATAATCTAACATAAAAGGATGCTAGGAAAGCTTGAGCTCATTTTACAAAATTGTGAAGTTTACATTCTAGCAGAATACTCACGGAAAAAAGGTCATCATCAAGACTAATCAACGACATTTTGTTAGAACCTTTGTTTTGCTAATGATGGCAATTAAAAGATTCATCGATTCAAATTAAAAAATATTTGAAGATTTTATCAATAATGGATTAAATAATTTAATTAAGTAACTTTTTTGGATGGATTATAAGTTTTAATTGCTGAACTTCAAATTGGTTAGCTTACTCCTACGTGTTACACTAGTCAAAATATTGATCATAACATTCGATTCTAAAATAATATTGACTATGGATTTATTATATTTTAAAAATTATATTAGATTACTAAATTTTATTAGATGTTTAATTGTAAGACTTTGGAATGTTTAACTCATTGCACATAGTTGTCCAAATAATCAACAAATTTACACAATTATGATAAGCTCACTGTGATATAAGTATTACATTTACAACAGAATTACCAAGACGTTATTATGGCTAACCTAATTATTGAAATAATGGTAAATCAATTTTTTGGTGTTGATTTGTGAAATCATCTTATATTTCAAAGAGAGTGAAAATCAAACAAGTGACCATTCAAATAGGTTTAAACCTAAATTTCCATGACAATTCCAATTGTACATGTACGCATTGGAAATATGTTTTCAGGAAAAAAGAATCCATGGACAGGTCATGGGCAGATTCAACGTTGTCTATACAGAGCAGCAACAGAGGAGACGACCAATTCCACTCCAGCACAACCCGGCTCCTCGGTGACTACACGGATTCGCGGCGACATCCCCCCTGGGTATGGAGCTCCCCTGGGACACCGGCATCTGCCAATAAGACTTTGACTTAGTTACTCAGCTAGTTAGTCGTCAACGATCAAGATTGTTCTACTTCGGGAGACATTTTAGTGCGAACCACTATACGCTAGGTAATGTGTTTTAGGAGCGTTTATGGCTATTGTGTCTGGCTCCGTTTACCAGTACCTGGGCTCTTCCAAGAGGAGTTTCCACATGTAGATGTGGTGGGACACATCCGGAGGTGCACCAGATCGGCGATCAGATCCAACCTTGATTTATAAACGGGGAGGTAGGGAGGTAGGGAGGTAGGGGGGGGAGAGAGAGAGAGAGAGAGAGAGAGAATTGTGTTTTGCTGTCTCTCACTGATTTTCTATTTTCATATAAATCAGTGTGGATGAAACTGACCGTTCTTGAGGGAGGGTTTGGTAGATATCATCGCTGGATAAGTCAATGGCTTCCAAAGTTGCCAACGCGTGAATTCCTGTCAATAGCGTAGGAGGTTCCTCACGACGGCCCCGTCTGCATGGAAGTGGGTCATGTCCGCGGTCATTATCTGACCACCGGTGAAGGTTTAAGGCTTTTTATTTATATGCGGATGAACATTGGACAAGGAAGCACGCTCTGCTCGAAAAAAATGCTGGTCATCCAGCTGTCGAAAGGCTGCTGCGTGTGGCACCATTCATCCACCAACCCACACGATATATATTTTCAGATAGATCCGTTGACAAGTTCCTTCGTGTGTCGAAAGGCTGGGGGGTTTTCCGGAATTGTACGATTGCTAGCAAGATCCTGGATTAACTCGGGAAATTGGCCTTAGACTAGGAACAATTTTTCGGTTCCACGGACCTAAGTGGCTTGAATAAGGGCACGACCAGAGAATTATGCTTCTTGAAATCGGTTTGTTGCGATCTCTTGAACAGGCACAAACGTGCTGCATCTGCTCATGGCTTAGAACATCTAAACTATTTTGTCGCAGCGGACGAGAAGGCGGGGGAGGACGAGGACGACATCTCCGCACCGGGGCCGCTTGCCCTCGCTCAATGCTGTATGGCGGCCCGTTACTGCCCCCCTTGTTGTTGCCAACACGCCGGAAAGAAAGAGAGGTGATGGGAAACTTTGACGAATAATAGAGATGAGATCAGGAAATCTCACCCAGAGAAAAAAATGGTTTAGGCACTCACTCTCACCCATGCCTACTACACGCTGGAGAACCCTCATCTTCGGCCAAGTTCATTTCTATAAGCTCAACTCAACCCAAACGAAGAAGCCCAGCTCAACCCATGTTAGTGTGGAGTTACTAATTTCAAAAATATCTAGCCTAATGTGGGCCTTATGTCTAGTGGTCACTTTGTAGTTAATGGGCTCACCAATCTAATGTTAACCTCTTGTCGGCAATCCAACTTTATGGTAATAGGTGTCCCATTAACTCTAAAAACTCAAATGTATATTAGTTCATTTAGCCAAGTTTGTACCTCATGTCAAGCATCCATCAATCTAATACTAGTTTTATGCCATGATCAAAACGAAAAATAATGAACCCATTGCCCTATTCTGATGTAATGTCCCATGAACAATTTGTCCCCTATATTAGTCATTTCGTATTGACTAAATATAGATGTAAAATGATTATCAACCTTATGTCATTATGGGACTTAATGACCAATCTAGCATCCTTGGGTGTGTTTAACATTAAAAGAAAACCTTGTTCAAAAGTTCACTTTAGTAATTATAGGAATCAACTTCATGCAAATCTTTAAAACCAAAATGTTAATTCATACCATACATTAAAAGCGTCAAATAAACTCTGAAAAACTGGCATTTTGTCTTGGACTCTCAAATAGGTTCCACTTGTAGATAATATCAAATAGGAAATGACACAAAAACCTGCCAAATGGGCCTCATCTTATTAAATAGGCTTGTAATCGGCCCAAAATATCTATCAAATGAGCTTTATAAAATAGACTCCAGTAGGCTTTCGTCCCAAATGCTATTAAATAGACATTTCCTTATGAAGTCTCGAACAAACTTTAGCCTTTAGTGATAATCGATAATAGTATAACTTTTAAACAATGAAAAAAATATCGATTGAAAATATCATAGAAACATAATAACGATAGATCTTAGCATGTCACAATAGATATATTATTGAGACAATAGGAAACAAAATATCAATACATTAAAATAAGATAAAAATGGACCAAATTGTTACTTTATGTATGCAGTCTGAAATAGTATATTAGTTTTTCAGAGATTTACACAACATTTTAAAGAATAATAAAATATCCCCTATCTATATTGTCACTACTAGACAAAGTTCTCTCCGTTTATATTTTTCGTTTGTTGCAAAACATCTATTACCTCTATTGAGGAGACAAGATGGCAATCTATTGTATTGGCAATAGTGTTTTAGAGACACTTAATACAGGTATTATCCCCTTTCTTGTCAACAGTATATAAAATAATGATAGTGGATAGGACAGAGCTGAGTGCTAAATAGATTTGTTGAAAAAATCAACAATTTCCTCAAGAGAAGATTGACTAGTACAACAAAAATGGAATGACTTCTGGAAAAATACAAGCAAGAGCATGTGCTACTGGAATGAGAATTATAAAGTTAGAATGTTAAGTAGAAGGTCTCTGAAAGAGAATGTGAGTTGGAAATAGAAAGAAGAGGGGATGATGCTAATCAGTGTTGAAAGGCCAAGGTGGTTAAACTTGGAGGGTGTTCTAGTGTCGATCAGAGGACAGTGGGCGGCTCAATGAATCTTTACATTATGTACGGATATTGCATGCTTGCAACAGGTAAGAGTTCTCCACTTCTCCACAGAGGAGCTCCCAGATTTAGATGACTGATAAGCGTCTGATGTTGCGCAGGTCGATGATCTGATTCACCCTTAAAGAACAAGCCGCGGAAAGAGAGAGAGAAAGAGAGAGAGAGAGAGACAGACAGACAGACAGACAGATGCGGTAGTTCCAAATAAACGAGTGAATCTAGTTATTAAGTTTGCCATTGCAGCCATAGATGAGGGTGGAAGGAGTTGTTATCAAAACGCCGCATCCGCAAGTGGACCTATCTCTACGATAAATTGTCCGCCACCTGTGAAGGTGGCAAATTGTCTACTTTTATGCTGATGATTATAATGGTGACATCTTGTTTAGCGATGCAACTCTCGGAACTTTAGCATACGATGACTCTTTTGATCAACCCTGTAGTCATCTTCATCAAGGCCATTGAGGTTGGTGGAGTCAGGCCATTGTTTTAGCGGAGCTGTGTTGGTGTTGATAAGCTAACCATTTTGGAGGGTGGGTTTGTTAGATGTCACTGCTTGGTCATTAAATGAGATCCTAGTTTTTCAACCTTATCTTTAGAACCGGTATTGGTCACACATAAAGTAGAACTATTTTTATCAAACGTATGGAGTTCCTACCTTGACTGGACAAACCTTATCATGTGGGACCTCCGAAAGATGACAATGATAAAAATTAATAAGTTTTTAATCCCGTTAAACAACATATAATGGTTTGATTAAGTTGTTTTTTCCTTAGAAAATCATATTATTGACTAAGATAATTCAGCAAACCCCTGTCTTTATAAAGAAATAAATCAATCAATATTACTCCCTATGGACGTGGTAAGAAGGGCGGGAAGTCCATGGTGCTGACCAGAGGCTTGTCCAGGCTTTAGCAACGCTTAATAAAAGATGCCAGGGCTCGAGCGCAAAGAGGGGACATCGGAGGCGGGGACGTGGCGCCATTGATAAGCTCCGTCGTCATCGCCATAACCCGTACTAACGTTCTCACGTTGACTTTGGACTAGGTGGAACGAGGTTTTCGAAGGATACTTGGGTCCGCCGATCGATTATTTCTCCTGTTGCTCGTCAGCCAAGAAGTTCCCATGGGCTGCCCCCTCACCTCGCCATCGGAAGTCGCTGGAGCCTGGCGTCGCCGTCGGGCCATTGCTGAGCCGTAGGACTTTTGATATTCCTATTAATCCGGTGGCCCGCCGACGGTCTACGGCGCGAAGTGAGAGCTCTCTTGTTCCTCCCCCACCTACCGCCTGTTCTTCAGCCGGGAAGCGACGCGAAGAAGACGAGGCGCGAGATGAGAGCAGCTGCTCCGGCGCCGCTGGGGGCGCCGGTGCTCCCCCGAGCTCTGCTCCTCCTCCTCCTCTTGGCGGGGACTATAAACTGCTGTCTCCAGAGCCCGGCCGCCAACGCACAGACTCTCCCCCTGGAGGAAGGTGAGTTATACCGACGACCACCGTCCTCCTCTGCTCTGCTCCTCATCACAGGATCGCCAGGAGCTGCTCTCTCTTTCTCTGCCCCTCTTCTTAACTTCGTTCGACTTCTCAAGTCTGTGTGGCGACCATTACTCAGTTTTTTCGGTTTCAAATGGGGAAAATATTTCCTCTCTCGGCCCTCATCGAGCAAGAAAATTCCCTCGGCAATCAGAACGCCTGGGCCATTGATTTCCGAACGTATTCAGATACAGAACCGTCTTTAACCTCGATTGCATAATAAGATTTTATCTGAAACAATGCTGAAATAAGAAATTTACTTATTCATTATATGTAATTCCTTTTTATTTCGATTCCTAACAACCACCGGGGGGCACCGCGCGGGAACGTTCAGTCGAAGCGCTCAAGCAAATCGCTTCAAAGCTGAAGATTCCGGCGACGCTGTGGAATTTCGACGTAAATCCTTGCACTGAATGGATTAAGGAAGACAGGGACCCCTACGCCCACAACGTCACCTGCCAGGAATTCAGCACGATCACCACGAACGCGACCACGAACAAGATCACGAACACCACCGCCTGGCATGTCGTCAGCATGTATGCCCCTGACGCTGTCCCCTCCTTGGTGGTAATCCCCTTCTCTGGTTTCGTCGGTAGCTGATTCCTTTCAATATGGACGAAATGGTGTTCAGCGATATCAAGGCGGCTAATCTGACCGGAGTGCTGCCGGAGGAGTTCGGCAAGCTCAGTTACCTATCCTCTTTGTACGTTCCCCGACCAAAATTCGTGTTTCTCGATTCTTTCTTATGAATATTCCGGAACTGAACATCTCCGCGCAATTTTCGTATCCTCTGAATCGGCGGAACTGAGCAGTGACGTCTCTCGGAACTACATCAACGGCTCCATACCAGCCGCTAACTGGACTTCCCTTCCTCTGAAAACCATGTAAACCACGACCATTCCGCTCCTTACATCCCCGTCAACGCAAAGTCGTTATCTCTATTTTGTGGTCTAGGTGGTAATGGATCTGACCAGGGGCTTTGTTGTATACTATTGTAGAAACGTTCTGGCGAACCGCATATCGGGTGCGATTCCTGAGGAGATCGGCAGCATTGGAACACTTGAAATACTGTAATGACGTTATATCCTGTTCGTAGCAACCATTTTATGCACCGTAGTAGTTGGTGATTGACATTTTTTATTCCTATTGAATCCTTTACCTGAAGTTTCTTGGAGAGCAACATGATGCAAGGGCCTCTTCCTCGTAGCCTCGGAAAATTGACCAACTTGAAAAGACTGTAAGCCTCTAGTCTATGGTCTATTCTTCTCCTGTGGTTGAATCTTCGTTTTCATCTGAATCAAAAAGAGAACAGAAGAAACTGCAGGCACAATGATCGTAACTTAAGAGACTAGCTAAATAAAATAAGTGACAACGCATCACGTCATTTCAGCCTTCTTTCCTGCAACAACTTCTCGGGTGAGCTTCCAGAAACACTGAGTAACCTGAAGAACTTGACAGACGTGTACGGTTCCTGCTCTTATATTTGTTGGACTCTTTCATGAGATTAAAAGGATCCTCTTCTTATTAATAATCGGTGCCGGACGATGTTTTTCAGTAGGCTGGATGGGACCGAGATATCTGGGAGGATACCGAGCTTCATAGGGAACTGGACGAATCTACGAAGACTGTTAGCTCTGCTGCCTTTATTTATCTTTTCCCAGCGCGGTTTATCATTTGAAGAGGATGTCTTTACTACATGGCATTCTCATGGGCTATAATGTGTTTTCTAATGTCGCAGTGACATCCAAGGAACATTCATGGAGGGTCCCTTTCCACCCGAGTTCTCATTATTGCTGAGCTTAACGCAGTTGTACGCGTGGCTTTACTCTTTTTCCGTACTCAGGGCAGTTGTCTGGGTTAATGCTCTGTACTGACAATGGCTATGTTGGCTTTCCTTCTGTAGGAGAGTCTCTGACCTGAAAAATGTGGGCGGTAGCTTCCCTCCCCTTGAGAATCTGCTAGGTTTAAAAGATTTGTAAGACTTCGAGTGACATTTATCCACACGCATGAATATATTTTTTGGTGGTATGTTGACGGGCTTTTCTGTGTGAACACTGCTAGGGTTCTCCGAAATTGCTCGATATCTGGCAGCATCCCGGACTACATTGGCAGATTTACTAAACTGCGAACCCTGTACAGCGCCTTGAACCCAAATATTTGCATGATTTGTTGGTCCAGTGATAATCATGCTCGCATTTGAAAAAAATTGAGATATTTTAGGTTAAACATCAGTTTCTAAGATGCCTTCAACAAGTCGAGAGATTCTGCATCTGTGCATCATTTTCGAACATCCGCATCTGATAGGCACGTTTAAGTGAAGGTTCTGCAGGGTCTAGGGGCGCTGCCCCTGATACCCGTGGATTACTGCCTATGTTGTAATTTTTTCTTTTTAACGCTATCCACGAGCTTACATTAGAGAATAAACTTATTTTTCTTGTCTGTTTATTTCCCAAAGTAAGTTTTGGCATTGAGCTTGGTTCAGATATTTGATTCAGGTACCCTTGTCTGATGATAGTATGTGCATGGTCATTGATGTTGCCTGTGGTCTGTCCTTCAAATAATATTTGTAGTCCTTCATACCATAGTTGCTAATTTCTCCTCTTCACCACAGATAAGTTCAGACAAACTGTAATTGAGAACTCTAAACAATCATATACTAGAAAAGATCTCGGAGGCGCTAATTATCAGATATATAAAATAATTCAGATCAGCACTACGCTCTGGGGGTGCAACTTACCTTAATAAATGAGAACGTGGTCGTTACATATGCAGTGGTGTTAATCTTAGGGAGTATTCCATGGTATGTATCCTGCAAACAACTCTTAAAAGGTTGGGACTTTTTAGTAACCTTAATATTGGAACCCATTCTCAGAAAATGAATGATTTTTTATTAAAAATCCCTGTACTCTCTTAGACGTCAGACTAGGAAAACTGTTGATTTCATGTTTACTGCACACTTATTCCTGCATCAATGATTTTCATGCTGCCATTTTTGACATTTGTCTGATAAACATCTGCTGCAGAGATTTGAGCTTCAACAATTTGACGGGCGAAATACCAGAAAACTTTATGAACCTCAGACGCTTAACAACTATGTAAGTGACTGCGGGTTCTATGTACTCGATGATTCGTCATAATGGGTGAAATACGAGAAAACTTTGTGCATCTCGGATCCTAAAAACTAAGTGATTGTGGGTTTTATTTACTCGGTGCTTCAACCTAATAGGCCAACAGGAAAGTCAGAAGAGTTATACCTTTCGCTCTTTAAGAAATATCGGTGATAGTTTACTGTGTTCCACATTTGGTGTTGATTATGCATGTCAGGTACCTTACAAGCAACAAACTTACTGGATCAATACCTTACTGGATTAAGAGAACCAGACAGAATATGTACGTTTGTCTTCCTGGAAGTTATTTTGCATTTTATGTCCTGTTAACTTTTTGGTAGCATATGAATCATCATCATGATAGAGCGTTTAAAATTTCAGGGATATTTCTTACAATACATTCACCGATCTTTCATCTGCACCAGCTAACTGTGAGCAAGAATCACGGTAAGCATGCTTTTTGTCTGTCAGACCTATTGAATTGAATTCTTGTTTCTGGAACTAAAAAGGTTTGCCTAAATTGCAGGAACTATGTTGCCAGCTTTTCATCGACAACAAGTGACTCGTAGGTTTCTAACATTGTTGAAGCGTATATTCTTGGTAGATCAAGTATCTAAATCATTCACTCGTTCCGTTTGACCTTTGTAGGATAGCGTCATGTTTAAGAAAGGACCTTCCCTGTGATGGCATGGCTAAAAGTGGGTGTAAAATATCCTTCCTGGGGGGCAGCATTTGTACCCTTTCAATTTGATTTTTGCTTTTGCGGCTTTGGAAGGAAACATCCTTATGATAAGAAATTTTGATTTTTCAAAATGACGCCCTCTTGATTAATTTTATTTTTTTTCTGCAGACTATAACCTTTTCATAAATTGTGGAGGTGAAAGGGTGGTTGTTGATGGCAATGAATATGAACCTGACCCTTCATTGGAAGGCACATCCAAATATTATCTTTCTCGCAGTGGAAAGTGGGCTCTTAGCAGCACAGGAAACTTTATTGGGGGAAGCAGGGCACCATTTGTAGCAGAAAATACGTCAACATTGACAATGCCTAATGCAGAGTTATACACGTCTGCTCGTTTGAATCCTCTCTCTCTCAAATACTATGGTCTATGCTTGCAGCCAGGAAATTATACAGTCAAACTGCACTTTGCTGAAATAGTTTTCACTTCTGGCCCGACATTTGGCAATCTTGGAAGGCGTGTGTTTGATGTATCAATTCAGGTCATTTGGATTCTTTGGACTTACAATCTTGTTGACATATATAGCGTAGTATTGATATTTTCTTACAGACCTTCGTGATTCTCTTTCGATCACTTCCAGATAATAATTCCTGATTATTTTATCTCATAATATCATTCTCTTTGGTGATTTGGTGCCATATGTGCTGATTCTTATCCAAGCCTCACTCACCCGTGGTTGTCACTGAAGACCCTCTTCGTAGCTTGCATACATGATATCATTTTCTGTAAACGAGAAATCATTTTTCTGTCACTTTTAAAATGTGCTTATTGATATTCAGTTGTTCCATTATTTATTTTCATGGGTGTTTTTTTGTGAGTACTTGTGCATCATAGTATAGTTTTCGTTCCCTATTACTAGTTGTAAATTAGGCCGAGTTTGTAGTCTTTTTGTTTGTATGTTTTTAACCAAGTCTTATGTTGATCTAACTGATAAAACTCTCCACTTTGAAACAGGGGAAAAAGGTGTTAAGAAACTTTAACATCGTAGATGCAGCCAATGGGACTGGTAAAGAAGTTATCAGGAATTTTACTGCCCTTGTAGAGGGTGGGACTTTGGAGATCCATTTCGTGTGGTCTGGCAAAGGGACGAATTCCATTCCATATAGAAGTGTCTACGGCCCTCTTATTTCAGCAATTGCAGTAACGCCAAGTGTGTACGAGGAGGTATTTTATGCTCTCCCGTTATTATCTGATTGGCTGATTTTAATTGTTTTTTTATTGTAGACTTCACACCGCGTATTTTCGAGGACAATACTGCTGGCCCTTTTAGTGGAATTGTTCAGCAATATCAGTGATGACGTTGCTTTGGGTGTTATATGGCTTTGCTTGAGAAGGAAAGCTACTGAGAACAATGGTGAGATGTCACTTGAATTTACCTATATTTATTTTTAGTACACAAATCCTTATGAATGCATTGAGTGACAGCTGCAAGTCTTGACTGTTACTTTGCATGTCTTGTGTTTAGAAGAGTAGAATTTAAACTGCCCTTGCCTGCATATTCTATCTTTTGTTTCTATAAATACTAGCAGCAGAGGAATCCTCTGTTTTTCTGAGAGCACAGTTAAATCCAAATTTGCAAATTCTTTACCCACACTGCACATGTGTCTTGTATCTAGAGCGAAAGTTTCTGCAGTTTTGTTTTTCCTTTCTGCAAGTTGTTGGCATATTAAGTGGACTTGACGAAAAACTGAAGAGCAAATGCGCCTACGTATGCATTTGTATGGTTGCTAACCTTCTGTTGATTAGGTATACACGTCAAACGTCCTCCATGCCGTAAAGTTGAATCATTTGGAGAAGGGTCTACACTATTTTAGAGCCAGAGCTCTCCCATAGCAGATTGATGTTCGCGGGGGTGCGTTCTTGCCCTATTGCCTAGTTTGTGCACAATCCTAGTTTTGACATAAAGAGTAGACTGTTTCTCTTTCTTTTCGTTAGTAAGTAACCTAGAAGATGTTTATGCTTTTAAGTGATGGGATAAAGGGTAGTCATCAAATGGTCTGGATTGGTGGGAGTTGCCGAATATTTGTGCCAAAGACTACTTGAGTAGCGAAAATCAGGGATATATAGACGTGAAGATTTTTCTAATGATTTTTGAAACGTTGCCTACGGTCTACATTCTCAGCTTTATAAGTCATCTTCCAGCAACCCTTCTAATTATAAATAGTGGACAAGCTAGCTAATGCGCATTTGTGTGTATAGATTCCCTATTATTGATTTTTTGCTCTACTGATGACAACTAATAAGGATGCAGCGTAAAGTCCCCACTGATATATAGTATATCTGTTCACTACACATGCGCGCGCACACACATACACACACATACATGCACATATATATATATATATATACATATTTCTTGGTAATGGGTTTTCCTTTTTTTCTCAGACCAATGTTCTGCAGGAGAAGGGTGCCCTCCTCGAGCTGGTGGAACCCGCCCTGGGTGCCAACGTTTCCGTGGACTCATGTACCTTGTTAATAAGTGGTCAAGGGCCAAGCCAGTCGGACTTTGGAGGGTACTCCACTGTTGTCCGAGAACGACGGGCACCATAATGTTTTTCTATAGCTGTTACGAATGTTGCATGCTAGGGCTAGTTCTTAGTTATCCACTTCTTGAACAGGAGCGCTCAGATGTAGATGGAATGATAAGCATCTAACGCCGCGCTAAATGGGTGATATGATTGGCCCTGAAATAGCGAGCCACAAGCGAAAGATAGGGGGAGAAACTCCTAGGCATATTTTAGTGCCTGGCACTGAAAGGTAGTCTGTGGGCCCTGTTTACCAGTTGTTGGTTTCTTCCAAGAGGGGCTTGATCGGCGGCTGATAGAGAAAGAGAGGGCGACTGTATGGAAGTGGTGGCCGTCTCCGCGGTCAATATCTGACCACCGGTGAAGGTGACGGACTGTTTTTTAAATGCCGACGAAATTTTGGACAAGCACGCAGGGAGGGTCCTCATCTGAAAAAAATTGCTGGTTGTCCAGCAGGCGTAAGGCTGCTGTGTATGGCATCATTCCTCCCTCAACCCACACGAATATAATCCGATGCAGTGCCCCATGAACAATCTGACCCTAGACTAGTCATTTCCTAGTTGCTAAACATACTGGTAAAATGATTGTCGACATTATGTCACCATGGGATTTAATGACCAATCTAGCATCATTGGGTGTATTTAACATTAAAAGAAAACCTTGTTCGAAAGCAGACTTTAGCAATAATAGGACTGAACTTCATGTTATTCTTTAAAACTAATACGCTAATTCATACCATACATTAAAAAAAATCAAATGAACTCTAAAAAATTGGCATTTTGTCTTAAACTCTCAAATAGTACCACCTGGATGTTAGATTGGCACAAAATTCTGCAAATGGGCCTCACCTATTCAAATAGGCTTTTAATTAGCCTAAAAATAGCTATTGATTGAGGTTCATTCAGAAGGCTTTGGTCTGAAAAGCCTCTAGGTAGGCATTGCCTTATAATGTCTCGAACAAACTTTAGCCTTTGGTGATAATAAGTATCAGTGTAACTAAATTTGAAACATTGAAAACAATATTGAATAAAAACGGTGTGAAATCCCAATAACACTACATGTGATCACAACAAATACATTATTGAGAAAATAACAAATAAAATATTGATGCATAAGTTGTACGAAATAGATGATAATATATATCCCCCTTTATATCATCAAAAATAGAAAACTTCACTCTTTCTATTTTTCATTTGTCGCAAAAAATCTACTACTATAAATGAGACAAGATGACGACCATGTGTACTTGCAATAGTCTTTTATAGATACCGTCCCCTGTATTGCCAACAACAAAATAAAAGGGCTGGAGTGGAACATTGAAAGAGGATAAGATAGACCTGAGTACTAAATAGATAGGTTTAAAAACTCAGCAATTTCCTCAAGAAGATTAAGTACAACAAAAGTGGAATGTGACCTCTTGTAAAATAGAAACAAGAAGATGTGCTAATGGAGTGGGAATTATAAGTTGAGAAGGTTACAAAGAAAGTCTATAAAAGAGAAGGTGAATACGAAAGAGAAAAAAGAGGGGATGATGCTACAAAATTTGATTGAGGAGATGGTGAGGTAAAAATTGTAGTCAATTTATCGTAAGGAAGATAATCAAGAATTTATTTATAGGCAAGCATATATTCTAAGATAAAACGAATAAGTTATAAGTTTGTGAAATATATAGATTCAAGCAGAATTCACATGGCCAAAAATATCATCATCATGACTAATTTAACATCATTTGTTCGATTCTTTGTTGTTTATAATGATAAGAATAAAAATAATAATCAATTTTAATTAAAAAATGCTTGAAAACTTTATCAATCATAGATTAAGTAATTTAATCACAAAACTTTACAGAGTTTAAAGTACGAGACAGATATGAGTTTTAATTTCTGAACTTCGAAATAAGTTTACTCTTCATGACTCACAGGCCAAAATATTGACCATAATATTGAATTTTAAATGCTTATATCTATTGTGGATTAAATAGTTTAATCAGTGGATTAGTTTTCTGAATTTTTTTAAAAGTTTAATTGTGAGACTTCATAAAGTTTTAAGTCATTGCACTTATATTCCAGAAATCCGCATGTTTACACAATTATGATCAGCCCATTGTAGCATAAGCATTGAATTTATGACAGAAATATTGAGACATTATTAGTAGTAACATGTTTATTGATTTGTGAAATGTTCTTGTATTTTAAGACTAAGTTAAAATCAAACATGTGATTATTCAAATAATTTAGGTCTAAATTTGTGTGAAAATTACAATCTTTCTCGTACGCATTGGAAAGGTATTTAGAAACAAAGATTCAAAGAAATTTGAAGCTTGAAATTTAACAAGAATTTTCTCAATTCAAATTTTTGGAATTGATGTGACAACTTATTCTAATTTCTTGTGGTAATTAGCCATTGAAAAACCATTGAATGCCCCAAAATTCGGTCTATAAAAAGGGGATTCGTCCCCACAGCGAAGGAAGAGGAGAGGCAGTTGCGCAATCTTCATATCCACCTGATTATCCCTCCACTCGGTACTAGAAGGCAGCTGAAACCTTAGAAGGGGAAGAAGGCCACCTGCTGCTCAACGCATCCACAGTCTGTTTCCATTCCTAAGATTTACAGATGCCCAAGAAAAAAAGGGAACATTCTAGCCTGCTGAACGCAGGAAAAACTCTAGTTAGAACTGCATCAAGACAATGTTACTTAATCAAGTAATTTATGTGGTAAATTATATGATTTCATTGCATATCTTTGTACCTTAGAAACTACATTAACCTGTTTGTCGTGGACTAAACCTCTGGTTTGACAATACTTTGAGCTGCTACTGGACATCTGGCCCTCCTCTGTGTGAGTAATGAATTTGAATGCTGTATTTATTATCAATGGCCTCATGAGGAGAGGAAAAAAGACTAATAGGGTTTCGTCGTGCTGTTTCTTATGCTGACGAGCATTTCTTTGTTTTCCTAGAGGGGCCGTATGGTTCCTAAGTATGCCAGATGTTTATTACCTTGCCACGATCACATTGGAGATTGTCAGTGGAAAGAGTAACGCCAATTGTCACGACAAAGAGGACTTCATCTAGCTTCTCGATTAGGTATGCAACCATCAGGCAGTTTGGTTGTATAATGCTGATGTTTCGAACCAATTCAGGTTAAAGATAAAGAAAAAAAAAACCAATTGATGACAGTTAATTGAGGATGGAGCGTAGAAACCCCACCGATAAGGAATATACATTATATCTGTTCAGCAGACATGTATATAGCTTTGTCTAGGAAATAGCTTTTCCATTTTTTTCAGGCCTTGTGATGCACAAGACGTGTGCCCTCCTCGAGCTAGTGGACCCAGCCCAGGGTGTCAACTTCTCCATGGAGGAAGCACAGCATATAGGACGTGAACTCATGTACCTTGCTTCTAAGTGGACCAGGGCTAAGGCAGTTGGTCTTTGGAGGGTGGTCCAGTGTTGGTCGCAGAACGTCAGGTGCCATAATGTTTTCCTAGAGTTTTAATGATATTGCTCGCTCGGGCTAGTTCCTGTTCTCTGCTTCTTCAATGAATAGATCAGAAATGTAGATCAGCTTGGAAGCATCCCACCCCGCGCTAAATTGGTTTCCTTATTTGTCTATAAATTGAGAGTCAAGGAGCGAGGGAGGGAGGGAGAGGGAGAGAGAGAGAGAGAGAGAGAGAGAGAGAGAGAGAGAGATGTGGTACTTGATAAAATAAGCATCTCACGCCAGGTTAAATTGGTGTCCTTATTTGCCTTTAAATTGAGAGCCACAGAGATAGGGAGGGACGGAGGGAGGGGGAGAGAGAGAGAGAGAGAGAGACCTGGTAGTTGATCAAATGAGCAAAACGCGTGATTCTACGTATTAAGTTTGATGTTGCAGCCGTAGATGGCGTTGACATCAAAGGGCCACATCCGCAAGGAAGTGGGCCCGTCTTCACGGTCAATATTCCACCTCGGGTGAAGGTGGCAAAGCAGAACCTCATTATTATTTTTTTATATAGAAAACGGTGCGGGTAAAACGTACCATTCTTTAGGGAAGGTATTTGGTAGATGTCACCGTTGGATCAATGGCTTCCTGGTTTGCCAACGCTTTCATTTATGTCATGGAGGTTGCCGTGCTCGTACGACCCCGTCTCCGCGGCCAATATCTGCCGTAAGTGAAGGTGACAGACTGTTTATTTACATGCCGATGGACATTGGATAAGGAAGCACGCAATGAAGGGCCCTCATCCGAAAAAAATGTTGGTTATGCAGCAGTCGTATTGAACCATTCATCCACCAACCCACACGATATATAGTTTTCAGATAGATCCGTTGACAATTTCTTCTGAGTGACTAGTTCAGGGCTCATCAGGGCTCTCGCGACACCTAGTGACAGGTGCCAGGGCTCCAGTATGAACTCAGGAGATGGTGAAATAGGGTCGTCGCCATTTATGAGCTCCGCTATCCTCATCAACCCCTAGACCGAAGCTCTCACCCTGATTTCTGCATTCTGCATTCTGCATTCTGCATTAAAGTGTTTCTCAGCCTTCTTTCGGAGGTTTTCAGCCAAGTTGTCATCCTGCACTGCCCCGCCACTTTCTGCCGGCGTCAGCTGTCGCTGTAAGCGACCGTCACCGTCGGGCCTTTCCGCGGACGAAGTGTTTTGAAATTCCTATATATCCGCAGGTGAACCGTTAGACCCAGACAACTCCCCCACCGACGGATTCCTACACGCTGGCACCACCCCAAAGTCAGACCCCCCCACCACACCCCCACTCCTCTGCTTACTTCTTGCATCTCTGTGCTCCGTCTACGCCGCGTGGTATAAACTCCATATCCGGCCATCCGTCCCTCCCACCTGCGTGAGGAGCCCGTGAGAATTCTCAGTTTGCCTCGTTCCTCCTCCCCCACCTACCACCTGTTCTTCGAGCAGGAGGCGACAGGGAAGATGACGACAAGAGAGATGAGAGAAGCTGTTTCGGCGGTGCTCCCCCGAGCTCTGGTCTTCTTCCTCCTTTTGGCGGCGACTCTGAACTGCTGTCTCCAGGGACAGGGAGCCCACGCGCAGACTCTTCCTAAGGAGGAAGGTGAGTTATGCCGACAACCACTCTCCTCCACTACGTTCCTCCCCGCAATGGAATCGCCAGGAGCTGCTCTCTCTCTCTCTCTCTCTGGGCTCTTAACGTCGCTCGTCTTCTCTGACCTGGCGGGTGGCGACCATCGATTAGCTTTTTCCGTCTTAAATGGGCAAATATTTCCTTTCTCGGGCCGCATCGAGTAAGAAAATTGCCTCAGCAATCGGAAAATTTTCGAAACATATTCAGATACAGAACCATCCTGCACCTCGACTCCATAGTAAGATATTATTTGCAGTAATACCGATATAAGGATTTTATTTACATTATATATCACATATTCAATATTATTATAGATGTTTTTCTTTTCTGTAACTGGTTCATCTCTCTGTCTCTCTCCCCACACACATGTCTTCCACTCTTATTTCGAATTGTAACGTCGGCACCGCGCGGGCACCTTCCTTATTTCAGTTGAAGCGCTCAAGCAGATCGCGTCAAAGCTTAAGATTCCGCCGACGTTGTGGAACTTCGACGTAAATCCTTGCACCGAATGGATTAAGGTAACTAGTGACCCCTACGTCCACAATGTCAACTGCCAGGAAATCACCACGACCACCACGAACGCGACAGCGAACACGACCACGAACACCACCGCCTGGCATGTCGTCGGCATGTATGCCCCTGACGCTGTCCCCTCTTGGGTGCCATTCCCTTTCCTGGTCTTGTCTATGCCCGTCTATAGCTGATTCGTTTCTGTCGGGACGGAATGGTGCTCAGCGATATCAAGGGGGCTAATCTGACCGGAGTGCTGCCGGAGGAGTTCGGCAAGCTCAGACACCTATCCTCTTTGTACGCTTACCGTCCAAATGTCTTGTGTTTCTTCATTTTTTCTTTTAAAATTTGAGGAGCTAAACGTCTCCGCTCTCAATTTATCCTCTGAATCGGCGGAACTGAGCAGTGACGTCTCTCGGAACTACATCAGTGGCTCCATACCTGCCGCTAATTGGACTTCCCTTCCTCTGAAAAACTTGTAAGTCACCACCATTCTGATCCTTACATCCCCGTCAACGCAAAGTCGATTTCTCTATTCTGGGGTCTAGGTGCTAGTGGATCTAACCAAGGTTTTTGTTGTGTACCATTGCAGAAGCATTCTGATCAACCGTATCTCGGGTGCGATTCCGGAGGAGATTGGAACAATTAGAACACTTGAAATACTGTAATGATTTTATATCCTGTTCGTAGCAACCATTTTATGCCCCAACCGGTGTTCTACATTGGTATTAGTTGCTGATCCACATGCTTTGTTCCTATTGAATGCTTTTACCTCTAGTTTCTTGGAGAGTAACTTGATGCAAGGGCCTCTGCCTCGGAACCTCGGAAATTTGACCAACTTGAAAAGACTGTAAGCCTCTAGTCTATGTTATATTATTCTCCAGTAATTGCATTGTCGTTCTTTACGTGAATTAAAGAGAAGAAAAGAAATTATCGATAGAATGATCGTAAATTCTGTGACAGTTAAAGAAAATCAGTGACAGAGCATCACATTATTTCAGCCTTCTGTCTTGTAACAACTTTTCCGGTGAGCTTCCAGAAACACTGGGTAACCTGAAGAACTTGACGGACGTGTACGGTTCCTGCTCTTATATTTGTTGGATTCTATCATGAAATTAGGGACCATTTTAGAATGAATTATCGGTGCGGGGTAATGTTTTTCAGTAGACTAGATGGAACCGAGATATCTGGGAAGATACCAAGCTTCATTGGGAACTGGACCAAACTAGACAGACTGTAAGCTCACCTGTCTTTATGTTTCCTTTCCCAGGGCGGTTTATCATTTGAAGAGGATATGCTTACTATATGGCATTCTCATTGGGTATAGTACATTTTTCTAATCTCGCAGTGACATGCAAGGAACACTTATGGAGGGTCCATTTCCACCCGAGTTCTCTTTATTGCAGAGCATAACGGAGTTGTGCGTGTGACTCTACTCTTTTCCCGTAATCAGGGCCGTTGTCTGTGGTAGTTCAGTATAGTGATAATAGATATGTTGGCTTTCCTTTTGTAGGAGAGTCTCTGACCTGAAAAATGCGGGCGGTAGCTTCCCTCCCCTTGAAAAACTGATAAATCTGAAACAATTGTAAGACTGCGAATGGCATTTATCCATCCGCATTAATATACTTTTGACGATTTGTTGATTGGTTTTCTGTGTGAACAATGTCAGGGTCCTCCGAAATTGCTCAATTTCTGGCAGCATCCCGGATTACATTGGCACATTTACTAAACTGCAAACCCTGTACAGCTCCTTGAACCCAAATGTTTGCATAATTTGTTGTTCAATTGGAATCACATTTGCATTTGGAAATTTTTTGAGGTATTTTAGGCTATGAAGCCTTGAACAAGCGGAGCATGATGAATGTTTACATTGGTTTAGAATCTCTACATGTGATAGGCATGCTTATGTCAGAGTTCTGTAGGGTTTAGGACCATGGCCCCAGGTACCTGCGGACTACCTCCTATGGTGTAAATTCTTAATTTGAAGCCATCCATGAGCATGCATTTGAGTATAATCGTGTTTTTTCTGGTCTTTTTGTTTCCCAAAGGAAGTTTAGGCATCGATCTTGGTGCAGAATTTTTATTCTGGTACCCTTGTCTGATGATTGGATATACATCGCCATTGATGTTTCCATTAACACGTAGTTAAGAACTCTAGACATATCATATAGCGGCAAAGAAGTCGGGAGGACTAATTATCAGAGATACAGAAAATGATTCAGATTTCCACTGAAGTCTGGGTCGGTGCAACGTACTTTAATTAATGAGCATAGGGTCGCTACATGTCCAGTGGTATCAAATTTAGGTCGAGTTCCATGTTATGTACCGTACGAACAACCCTGAAAAAATTGGGAATTTTTAGTAACCTTCATATTGAAGCTCATTCTCGAAGAATGGATGAATTTGAGGTAAAAAATCATGAACTGTTTTTGTTGTAAAGGTAGAAAAATTGTTGAGACCTCTTTACCTGGCAAACTTGTTCCCACATCAATGATTTTCATGCAGCAATTTTTCTCCCTCTGATAATTGTTTGTTAAAAAAAATATTCATAGCTAATATTTATCTTGAAAAGCAGACATTTTTCCCATGAAAATCATAAAGGGCGGTCACAGGGAGAGCAATTATTTTGGTTTCCGAATTTTCTCAATTTTTGATAACCTTCTGCTGCAGAGATCTGAGCTTCAATAACTTGACGGGCCAGATACCAGAAAACTTTGTGAAACTCGGAAAATTAACCACTATGTAAGTGACTACGGGTTCGATTTACAAGAGGATTCAACTTAATAGGCCAGTAGAAAAATCAGAAGAGTTGTGCCTTTTTCTCTTTAAGCATTATTTTCGTAACAATTTTATTGTCTTCCATATTTGGTGTTGATTTTGCATAATCAGGTACCTTACAAGCAACATACTTACTGGATCAATACCTGATTGGATTAAGACAACCAGAAATAAAATGTACATTTGCCTTCCGGGCATTTTTTTCGCATTTCACGACCTAATGGATTTTTGGTTGAGCATTAATCATTATCATAATAGAAATTTTAAAATTTCAGAGATATTTCTTACAATACATTCACCGATCTTTCATCTGCACCAACTAACTGTCTGCAACAATCACGGTAAGCAAAACTTTTTGTCTGTGCGACCTATGGAATTGAATTCTTCTTTCTGGAATTAAACATGGTTTACCTGACTTGCAGGAACTATGTTGCCAGCTTTTCATCGACAACAAATGACTCGTAGGTTTCTGACATTGTTAAGGTGCATATTCGGTGTATCTCAAGTGCCTGAATAATTCACGCTCTCCATTTAACCTTTGTAGGATAGCGTCGTGTTTAAGAAAGGACCTCCCCTGTGATGGTACACCTAAAAGTGGGTATAAAATCTCCTTTCTACGGGACAGCTTCTGTACCTTTTCAGTTTGATTTTTTACATTTACGGGGTTGGCGGAAAATATCCTTATGATTTGAAAGATTGACATTTGAACATGACGTTCCCTTGATTAATTTTTTATTTGGCTTCTTGTCATTTCTGCAGACTATAACCTTTTCATAAATTGTGGAGGTGACAGTGTGATTGTAGATGAAAATGAATATGAACGTGACACATCATTGGAAGGCACATCCAAATATTATCTTTCTGGCAGTGGAAAGTGGGCTTATAGCAGTACAGGAAACTTTATTCAGGGAGATAGTGCACCATTTGTAGCAGAAAATAGATCAGCATTGATAATGCCCAATGCAGAGTTGTACACGTCTGCTCGTTTGAATCCTCTCTCTCTCAAATACTATGGCCTATGCTTGCAGCCAGGAAATTATACAGTCAAACTGCACTTTGCTGAAATAGTTTTCACCTCTGGCCCGATATTTGGCAGTCTTGGAAGGCGTGTGTTTGATGTATCAATCCAGGTCATTTGGATTCCTTGGACTTCCAATCTTGATGAATATGTATAGCATTGTATTCCCCTTTTCTTCATTCATGCTGTTGTCACCGATGACTGTCTTCGTAGTTGAGATACATGATATCGATTTTGCTAACGAGAATTCGTTTTTTCCTAACGCTTTTCAATGGTGTTTGTCGGTATCCAGATATTCCATTTTTTCCTTTTTGTCGGTGCTTGTATGTTAGTTGTCGTGCATCATACTATAGTTGTTGTCTCTGTCTTCCTTCTTGTAAACTGGGTTTGGGTTCTCTACTTTAGGGTTTTTGTTTGTATGTACTTAACCAAGTCGTGTGTTGATCTGCCTGATAAAACTCTCTGCATTGAATCAGGGGAAAAAGGTGTTAAGAGACTTTAACATCGTAGAAGCAGCCAATGGGGCTGGTAAAGAAGTTATCAGGAATTTTACTGCCCTTGTAGAAGGTGGCACCTTGGAGGTCCATTTCGTGTGGTCTGGCAAAGGGACGAATTCCATTCCATACAGAAGTGTCTACGGCCCTCTTATTTCAGCAATTTCAGTAACGCCAAGTGTGTACGAGGAGATATTTTATGCTCTCTCTTTATCATCTGTTTGGTTTATTCTTATTATTTTTCTGCATTATAGATTTCACACCTCGTGTGTTCAAGGACAAAAAGCGTTTTCCAGTTGGCGGCATCATTGGAATCGCTGCTGCTTCAACTGTGTTATTGATCCTGGTGACTTTGGGTATAATCTTGTTTTGCCTGAGAGGAAAAACTACTGAGAGCAATGGTGAGAGTTTGAATTTACCTATAAATATGTGTAGCAGAACCCAGATCCTTATGAATGCATTGACTGGCATCTACACGTAGCTTATATTGACTGTTACTTTGCCTGCCTTTCATTTAGAAGAATGTAATTTAAAGTACCTTTGCTTTAATGTGGAATATATTCTTATATAAACATGAGCAGTATAGGAATCCTCGGATTTGGTCAGCAAAATCTGAATTTCATATTCTTTGTTCCATCTTGAGGAGTTGAAAATAAAGTGGGGAAAGTTTCCTCACTTTTTTTTTTCCTTTTTGCAACTTTTAGGGTTATCAAGTGTATGGAATGGGATTTCAATAATAAGTTGAGGTGAAATCCTGAAATTGTGTCATGATATCCTTCCCAATGAACCAGGCTTGTTGACTCTTGTGTAGATTAGTTTTGTAGGTCAAACGTCCTGCAGGCCGTAAAGTTGAATTACTTGCGGAAAGGTCTAGACCATGTTAGAGCTAGGCCTGCCCCCAAACAGATTGGTGTCTGCTGGGGCTCTAGCCCTATTGCCTAGTTTTCTCTTTCTTTTGGTAGTTGACCCAGCAGAGGTTTATGCTTTAAGCGATGGAACAAAGGGGTAGTCAAACGGTCTGCATTTGTGGGAGTGAGGAACATATGTTCTCAAGACTACTTGAGTGGCGAAAATCTACTTAGCCATGTATTGAGGATGCTTAATGAAGCTCAGGAGAACGTGAATCACAGATGTGATAATCCATTGATTTTTGGACCGTAGCCTATTCTACATTCTGAGTTTATTAAACTTTTTCTATCAATCCAGGTAATGGATAAGCTACCTAATGCGCATTTATGTCCTAGATGGCATTTATTGTCTTTCTCTTAAACTTTGAGCAGACCTCAGAGGCTTGGAGTTGCACACAACCCGTTTTAGTTTGAAGCAAATTAAAGCTGCCACAGGGAATTTCAACCCTGAAAACAAGATTGGTGAAGGTGGATTTGGTCCGGTTTACAAGGTCAACCACATATTCATGGGTTCATTCTCTTTTGCTTTTATGTCCGAAATTTCGCCCCTGCGTAATCTTAGTCGCCTAATAATATACCAATGTTGCAAAATTTCAGGGGGTTCTTCCGGATGGCTCTATGATTGCTGTGAAGCAGCTTTCATCCAAGTCAAAGCAAGGAAACCGGGAATTTTTGAATGAGATAGGCATGATATCAGCCCTAGAGCACCCAAACCTCGTAAGACTTTTTGGGTTCTGCATTGAAAGGAATCAGTTGCTGCTAATTTACGAATACATGGAAAATAACAGCCTTGCCCGAGCCCTATATGGTACGGTTTTGCGTTCTTTGTACCTTGTGCCCGCTACTTTCTAGGATTTCCTTGGTTAGATTCATTGTATGAGGTATGGCGTGTGTAACAATCATGGTGTTGACAGGTCCCAAAGAGTCAAGGTTGAATTTGGATTGGCAAACTAGACGTAGAATTTGCATAGGAATAGCGAGAAGCTTGGCGTACCTTCACGAAGAGTCGAGGCTAAAAGTAGTTCACAGAGACATCAAAACGACGAATGTCCTTCTTGATAAGGATCTGAACGCCAAGATATCAGACTTCGGACTTGCAAAACTCGACGAAGAAGAGAATACGCATATCAGCACCCGGATAGCAGGGACCATGTAAGCAAGCCCTGTTTCTCAATTAATGGATACTTAGGTCTGCTATCAGAGTGATATATTTCGAGTTTCAGCTCTTCATTCCTGTTGTTAACTGCCCAACACTTTCCCCCTGATACGATTGGTGATATCGTTTCGATGACATTAACCATTGCTTTGTGGTTCGATTCAATACGCGGCATTTTTTGTTGAAGCAATTAAGGTTATTTGGACAAGTTAGTTGCCAGAGTATCTCACTCAGGGTACTTTCTTTGTATCTTATTTTCGTTCTACTTGATCCATCCTTCACAAGTTATCTGTTGAGCGAGTAAGTGTTAAGGTTACCATCTCCAACGCATCCTTCAATTTTTCCATCTACGTAGGGCATCCCATCTCAACAATTAGTTTTTGTCATATGAATGAATGTCCCTGAAGTGGAGGTCTAATTGCTGGTTTATTTAAATATGATCAATAGGAAAAGTTCAGTTTGGTTTGGTGGTGCTGTCTCTCTTATCCTGACAAGGATTTTTCCTGTTTCGCTCCAGGGGTTATATGGCTCCTGAATATGCCATGAGGGGTTACCTGACGGACAAAGCAGATGTTTACAGCTTTGGTGTGGTCACATTGGAGATTGTGAGTGGAAAGAGTAACGCCAACTGTCGCGTCGAAGATGACTTCATCTACCTTCTCGATTGGGTACGCGAATTTCGGGCAGTTTCGGTTTATAACTCAATGCTCAAGATTCATTGGTAATGGGTTTTGCATTTTTTGCAGGCCAATATTCTGCAGGAGAAGGGTGCCCTCCTCGAGCTGTTGGACCCCGCTCTGGGCACCAACTTCTCCATTGAGGAAGCGCAGCAGATGCTGAACCTGGCCCTCGTGTGCACCAACTCCACCGCAGCCCTTCGGCCTGCCATGTCCACCGTGGTTGCCATGCTCGAGGACCACACGCCCATTCGAGTCCCGACCGTGGAAAACACCCGGACAGAGAGCACGGAGCTGATATTCAGGTCATCCGACCGTAGAAAGGCCGTGTCCATGGACGGCCCGTGGGCGGATTCCACGCTGTCTATACAGAACAGCAACAGAGGAGACGACCATTTCCACTCCACCACAACCCGGCTCCCCGGTGACTACACGGATTCGCAGTGACATCCCCCCGGCATGGAACCTCCCCCTGGGACAGTGGCGATTTTTGAATTCCGAACCAAGCTAATTAGTCGTAAACGATCGATATGGTTTGAATAAGGGCAAGGTCAAGGGTTTATATTTCTTAAAGTTAACACCTTTAGCTCGAAATCCGTTTTCGCGATCGCTGGAACAGGCACAAACATGCTGTATCTCCTTGTCAGCTTAGAACTAAACGAGCTGGCGCTGCATGTGTGGAGTGGACGAGAAGGCAGAGGAGGAGGACGACGACTTTTTCGGACCCGCACTGCCTGCCCTTGCTCAATGCTGTACGGTAGCCTGCTACTGCTCTCCCCTTGATGACAAAAGGGAGGGAGGATCTGGAGACCGCGCCCCAAAAAGGAAAAAAAAAGTTTAGCCTTTACTCACTCTCAGCGAAGCCTAGTAGAGGCTGAAGAATCCTGATATTGGGCTAAGCTCACTTCTAGAAGCTCAACTCAAACCACCTTAAGAAGCCCAGACCAACCCACGTTAATGTGGAGTAAGTAATTTTAAAAATAATGGGGACCTGATGTCGCGTGGTCAACCATGTTGCAAATCGGTTCGGCAATCTACTGTTCACCTCTTGTTTGGCGATCCAAATCTTATGGTAATGTTCTGCAGCAGAAGGATGCCTTCCTCGATCTGGTGGACCCCGCCATGGGTGCCAATTCTCATTGGAGGAAGCGCAGCACCACAGACGTGGACTCATGTACCCTGGTAATAAGTGGCCCCGGGCAACGCGGTTTGACTCTCGAGGGTGGTCTAGTATTGATCAGAGACCGGCAGGCGTGCCCTGGTGGCATAATGTTTTTCCAAAGTTTCTACGAATATTGCATGCTCTAGCATGCTTGGGCTAGTTACAGTTGTCCCCTTCTTCGTAGAGGAGCTCCCAGATGCTGATGTGTTGATAGGCATCTGACGCGGCGGAAAATCAGTCATTTGAGTCGCCCACAGAGAGCGACTGAGCGAGCGAGCGAGCGAGAGAGAGAGAGAGATGGTAGTTGATAAAATAAGCAAAACAAGTGATTCTAATTAATAAGTTTGACATTGTAGCCATAGATGAGGGCCAGTGTTATGCCAATTGGGTCCTCCATTTTACGCTTCGGCCCATCCAAGATAAAGTTGACTCTCTCTCCTCTCTCTCTCTCTTTCTAACTGGGATTTCCATTTATGGGATGAAGTTTGACCTGGGCGTTGAACAGAGCTGCAGTCTATGATCCACAGAAATCAACTATAATCCTAGAAAAATGAAGGGGAAAGGGAGCACAGTAGAGAGAGAGAGAGAGGACGTCGGGAAATTCAGTCAAACTGGATTTCATTTTTTCTAAGATTTTATTTCCTAAACCGAGGCTTTAAAACAAAAATGGATACTTTGACCAGGAACCTCAGCTTTTCCTCGCGCAATCACCACCCACCCCTCCCACCCCTCCTACCCCGCCTCGAACTACGACGTACATACGGGTGGACCCCACCTATCCCACCACATGCGGGCCATAGCCTGTCTGACTTCTGGACCTTTTTTCTCTAGGCTAAAATAATTCAAGATGACTTTAATTGATTGATATTATTTTAAAATGCCTCAGTTGATCATAATTAATAAATAAAAATAAAAATTATAACTACACTAAAATAACTCAGCCGTAGCTCCAGCCCGAAGGACCCCGTTGGATACGTGACACCCGGCGCAGTGACCGGTAAGGATGGGGTTTTTCTGTAAAAATACGCAACGAGGGGGTGGGGTTGGGGCGGTCCAGGCCTACAATTTTAGTTAGTTTAGGGTCATCATGACTTCTGCTGAAAGTACACGTCACCGCATTATAAAACTGGTAGCGGGCACTCCACGGAGTGTTCTCGTCAAAAGGCCACGTAAGCAAGGAAGTGGAGCCGTCTCCACGGTCAATCATCCACCTCAGGTGAAGGTGGCAAATGGTCTATTTCTATGGTGAGGATCATAATGGTAGCCTCTTGCTTAGCAATGCAACACTATGAAATTTAGCAAAAAGGGATTATTTTGGTCAACCTTGTAGCTATCGAGTTCTTCAATACCATTGAGGTTGTTGGAAGCATTCTAGGGGTAGTATCTTAATGATTGGATGATGTATTTTGTGTTTATATATGAACTTGAAAGAAGGCCCCATTTAGCACCGAGACAACCTCCCGCCCAGGGAGACGGCTGCCGGCGCCAAGTGAGATTTCCCCGGTTAACTTCTTTCGTCTGTGTCCTCGGTCTGCGCGGCACCTGTTCTTCGACCAGGAGGCGCCGGGAAGAAGACGATGCGCGAGACGAGAGTAGACGGTCAGGCGGCGGTCCCCCGAGCTCTATTCTTCTTCTTCCTCCTCCTGGCGGCGACTCTGAACTGCTGTCTCCGGGACCGGGGAGCCCACGCGCAGACTCTTCCCCCGGAGGAAGGTGAGTTATGCGGACGACCACTCTCCTCCGCTCTGCTCCTCCTCGCCACGGGATCAGCTGCTCTCTCTCTCTCTCTCTCTCGTCTTCTCAAGCCCGGGGGTTGTGTTGGCGACAATCACACATGTTTTTCGGTTTTAAATGGGAAGAATATTTTCCCTCTCGGCGCTCATCGAGTAGGTAAATTCTCTCGGCAGTCAGAATTTTTTCATAACCATTCAGATACAGAACCATCTTCGAATTGATTCCATTATTCGCAATAACGACTATACAGGAATTTACTTCGTTCATCATATATACAAATATAAAATTATTATAGATATTTATTAATTTTCCCTAACTGGTTCCTCGCTCTCTCTCTCTCTCTCTGTCTCTCTCTCCCCTCCGTATATATATACAAATATATGTAATTCTTACTTATTTCTTATAATAACCGCCGGGGGGAACCGCGCGAGAAACGTTCAGTCGAAGCTCTCAAGCAGATCGCTTTAAAGCTGAAGATATTGGAGTGGGACTTCGACAAAGATCCTTGCACCCAATGGCCGAAGGAAACCAGTGACCTCTACGTCCACAATGTCGCCTGCCAGGAAATCACCACGACCACCACGAACGCGACCACGAATGCGACCACGAACACCACCGCCTGGCATGTCGTCAGCATGTATACCCCAGCCGCTGTCCCCTCCTGAGTGGCATTCCCGTTATCTGGTCTCGTCGATGTCCGACTATAGCTGATTCGTTTCTGTTGGGACGAAATTGTGCTCAGCGAAATCAAGGGGGCTAATCTGACCGGAGTGCTGCCGGATGAGTTCGGCAGGCTCAGACACCTATCCTCTTTGTACGCTTACCGTCCAAATGTCTTGTGTTTCTTCATTTTTTCTTTTAAAATTTGAGGAGCTAAACGTCTCCGCTCTCAATTTATCCTCTGAATCGGCGGAACTGAGCAGTGACGTCTCTCGGAACTACATCAGTGGCTCCATACCTGCCGCTAATTGGACTTCCCTTCCTCTGAAAAACTTGTAAGTCACCACCATTCTGATCCTTACATCCCCGTCAACGCAAAGTCGATTTCTCTATTCTGGGGTCTAGGTGCTAGTGGATCTAACCAAGGTTTTTGTTGTGTACCATTGCAGAAGCATTCTGATCAACCGTATCTCGGGTGCGATTCCGGAGGAGATTGGAACAATTAGAACACTTGAAATACTGTAATGATTTTATATCCTGTTCGTAGCAACCATTTTATGCCCCAACCGGTGTTCTACATTGGTATTAGTTGCTAATCCACATGCTTTGTTCCTATTGAATGCTTTTACCTCTAGTTTCTTGGAGAGTAACTTGATGCAAGGGCCTCTGCCTCGGAACCTCGGAAATTTGACCAACTTGAAAAGACTGTAAGCCTCTAGTCTATGTTATATTATTCTCCAGTAATTGCATTGTCGTTCTTTACGTGAATTAAAGAGAAGAAAGGAAATTATCGATAGAATGATCGTAAATTCTGTGACAGTTAAAGAAAATCAGTGACAGAGCATCACATTATTTCAGCCTTCTGTCTTGTAACAACTTTTCCGGTGAGCTTCCAGAAACACTGGGTAACCTGAAGAACTTGACGGACGTGTACGGTTCCTGCTCTTATATTTGTTGGATTCTATCATGAAATTAGGGACCATTTTAGAATGAATTATCGGTGCGGGGTAATGTTTTTCAGTAGACTAGATGGAACCGAGATATCTGGGAAGATACCAAGCTTCATTGGGAACTGGACCAAACTAGACAGACTGTAAGCTCACCTGTCTTTATGTTTCTTTTCCCAGCGCGGTTTATCATTTGAAGAGGATATGCTTACTATATGGCATTCTCATTGGGTATAGTACATTTTTCTAATCTCGCAGTGACATGCAAGGAACACTTATGGAGGGTCCATTTCCACCCGAGTTCTCTTTATTGCAGAGCATAACGGAGTTGTGCGTGTGACTCTACTCTTTTCCCGTAATCAGGGCCGTTGTCTGTGGTAGTTCAGTATAGTGATAATAGATATGTTGGCTTTCCTTTTGTAGGAGAGTCTCTGACCTGAAAAATGCGGGCGGTAGCTTCCCTCCCCTTGAAAAACTGATAAATCTGAAACAATTGTAAGACTGCGAATGGCATTTATCCATCCGCATTAATATACTTTTGACGATTTGTTGATTGGTTTTCTGTGTGAACAATGTCAGGGTCCTCCGAAATTGCTCAATTTCTGGCAGCATCCCGGATTACATTGGCACATTTACTAAACTGCAAACCCTGTACAGCTCCTTGAACCCAAATGTTTGCATAATATGTTGTTTAAATGGTGATCATGCTTGCATTTGAGAGTTTTGAGATATTTTAGGCTAAAAGTCAGTTTCTATGATGCCCTGAACGAGCGGTGATATGCTGCATCTTTGCATGGGTTTAGAACATCTGCATGTGATTGGCATGCTTATGTTAGGGCTCAGCAGTTTCTTAGGGCACTACCCAGAATAACTTTGGACTTCCTCCCATGATGTATATTCTTGATTTGAAGCCATCAGTGAGCATGGATTTGAGTACAATCCTCTTTTTCTGGTCTGTTTATTTCCCAAACGAAGTTTAGGCGTCGATCTTGGCGCATATATTTGATCCAGGAACCCTTGTCTGACGATAGTACGTACATTGCCATTGATGTGGTCCTTCATAGCGTAGTTGCTAATTTCTCCTCTTCACCGCAGATTGTTTAAAAAAAAGGCTGTAGTTGAAAACTTAGATATATCATATGCCAGCAAAGAAGTCTGATGCACAAATTATCAGAGGTATGTAAATTAATTCAGATCTGCACTCCATTCTGGGGTGGAACGTACGTTAATAAATGAGAATGTGGTCGTTACAATTTTAGTGGTATCAACCTTAGCAATTATTCCATGGTATGTACCTGCAAACAACCCTTAACAGGTTGGGAATTTTTACTAACCTTAATATTAAGAACTATTCACAGAAAATGAATGATTTTTTTGGTTAAAATTCTTGCACTCTTTTGGACTGCAAACTAGAACAATTGTTGATGTCATGTTTACTTGCACACTTATTCTGCATCAATGATTTCATCCGCTCTTCTGGACTTCAAACTAGAACAATTTTTGATGTCATGTTTACTTTGCACGCTTATTCTGCATCAATGATTTCATGCAGCCATTGCTCATACTTTTTGATAAACCTGTGCTGCGGAGATCTGAGCTTTAATAATTTCACGGGTGAAATACCAGGAAACTTTGAGAATCTTAGAAGGTTAACAACTATGTAAGTGACTGTGTTCGCTTTACTCAATGGTTCAACTAAATAACCTGCCGAAAATCAGGACATCCATACCTTTTTCTTTGTATGCAATATTTTCGTAATAATTTTATCATATTGCACATTTTTAATTTTTCATCATCAGGTACCTTACAAGCAACAAACTTACGGGATCAATACCTGATTGGATTAAGAGAGGCAAACAAAATATGTACGTTTGTCTTGCTGGAAATTTCTTAAATTTCATGTCCGAATAAGTTTTTGGTTGCGTAAGAATCATCTTCACAATATAACGTTAAAATTTCAGAGATATCTCTTACAATACATTCACCGATGTTTCATCTGCGCCAGATAACTGTGAGCAAGAATCAACGTAAGCATGTTTTTGTCTGGCGGACATATGGAATTGAATTCTTGTTTTTGGAAGTAAATAAGGTTTACATTACTTGCAGGAACTATGTTGCCAGCTTTTCGTCGACCACAAGTGACTCGTAGGTTTCTGACATTGTTGAAGTACATATTATATTATGGGTATCTCAGGTGTCCAAATCATTAATTCTCTCCATTTAACCTTTGCAGGATAGCGTCATGTTTAAGAAAGGACCTCCCGTGTGATGGCACACCTAAAAGTGGGTATAAATCTCCTTTCTAGGAACAACTTCTTGACCTTTCAGTTGGATTTTTTCTTTTGCGGGGTTGGAGTAAAACAACCCTATGATTTGAAAGTCTGACTTACGAACATGACGTTCTCTTGATTAATTTTTATTTGACTTTTTGGAATTTCTGCAGACTATAACCTTTTCATAAATTGTGGAGGCGAAAGTGTGACTGTTGACGGCAACGAATATGAACGTGACACATCACCGGAAGGCGCATATCCAAGTTTAAGCTTTCTAGCAGCGGAAAGTGGGCTTATAGCAGTACAGGAAACTTTATTGGGGGAGGAAGCGACGCATCATTTGTAGCAGAAGCTACATCATTATTGACAATGACCAATGCAGAATTGTACAAAACTGCTCGTTTGAATCCGCTCTCTCTAAAATACTATGGTCTATGCTTGCAGCCAGGAAGTTATACAGTCCAACTGCACTTTGCTGAAATAGTTTTCACTTCTGGCCGGACATTTGTCAACGTTGGAAGGCGTGTGTTCGATGTATCAATCCAGGTCATTTAGATTCTTTGGACTTACAATCTTCATGAATGCATATAGTTTATTATTGCTCTTATCCTACAGACATCCATGATACTGTTTTCGATGACTTCCGGACAATCATTCCTGATTATTTTATCCCACAATGTCATTCACGTTCGTCATTTAGCGTCATATCTGCTGATTCTTATCTTTGCTTCGTTCAAACATGCGGCTGTGAATGAAGACAGGATACATGATATCATTTGTTGCATAGTAGAAATCATTTTTGTAACACTTTTCAATTGTGTATTGGTATTCAGGTATTCCCTTTTCTCTTTTCGTGGGTGTTTGTTTCTGAGTACTTGTGCATTGTACTATAGTCTTTGTCTTTCTCTCTCTAGTTGCAAATTGGACTTGGGTTCTGTACTGCAGATTTTTGTTTTTTGTATTTACTTAACGAAGTTGTGTGTTTTTCCAGCTGATTAAGCTCTCTGCTTTGAATCAGGGAAGAAAGGTGTTAAGAGACTTTAACATCGTAGAAGCAGCGAATGGGACTGGTAAGGAAGTTATCAAGAATTTTATTGCCCTTGTAGAGGGTAGCACATTGGAGATCCATTTCAAGTGGTCTGGCAAAGGGACGAATTCGATTCCGTATAGAGGTGTCTACGGGCCGCTTATATCAGCAATTTCAGTAACACTGAGTATGTACATGAACATGTTTTCTGCTCTCCTATTACCATCTGATTGGTTGATTCTAATTATTTTTTTGCATTGTAGATTTCACAGCTCGTGTGTTCAAGAACAAAAAGTTTCCAGTTGGCACTATCATTGGTATTGCTATCGCTTCAACAATATCAGTGATGATGATGACCATGGGTATCATATGGTTTTGCTTCAGGAGGAAAGCCATTAGGAACGATGGTGAGATTCCATTTGAATTTATCTCTAAATATATGGGGTACATGAATCGGTGTATCTAAAGAAATCTTTGAGGCAGATCTGCACGAGGCAAATTTTGACTCTTATCCTCTGTGTCAAAAATTAAACTAGCCGTTTTTGCTTATGCTATCTTTTTTTGTATAGATCGTTGTAGAGGAATTCTCATATCTGATGCAAACATGGCCAAATCTGCAGATATACAATTTTTACTCGCAGTACTATGTGCCATCTGTGTAGAGAATTTTAAAATAAAGCAGCGGAACTTTCTGCAGTTTTGTTTTTCTTTTTTGCAACTTGTGGGGCTATCAAGTGCACTTGAATGAAAAGCGAAGAGCATGGTGTTGAGTTTCGGATGTCCTTAGAACGGCATTTCAACCAATATGTCCAAGTGATATCAGAGACTGTTGTCCTGATATCTTTTTTAATGGACCATTCTTGTTATATAGCTCAAACGTCCTGGATGGCCGAAAAGTTCATCAATCCCTAAACGGATTGATGTTCAAGGGGGTTCCTTCCATATTGCTTAGCTTGTGCACAATCCTAGTTCTAATGAAAAGAGTAGACTCTTAGTGTTTCTTCTGGTCGTTAACCTAGCAGTTGTTTATGGTTTAATCGATGCGACGAAAGAGTGGCCATCAGATGGTCTGCATTGGTAGGAGTGACGAATATTTATTCTGAAGACTACTTGAGTAACAAAAATGTACGTAGTAATTTATTGAGGATACTAAATTAAACTGAAGAGAACATCGTACATAGACTTCGTCATAATCTGAGCTTTATTAGACATTTTCAAGCAACCCTTATAACTCCAAAAGTGGATAGCTGATGCGCATTTGTCTGTAAGATAATCTCTAGCATTGAATTTTTATTATACCCATGGTATATATTGTCTTTCTCTTAATTTTTGTGCAGAACTCAAAGCAATGGAGTTGCGGACAAACTGTTTTAGTTTGAAGTAAATTAAAGCTGTAACAAGGAACTTGGACCCTGCAAACAAGATTGGTGAAGGTGGATTTGGTCCTGTTTACAAGGTCAAGCACATAGTCATGAGTTCATTCTGTTTTGTTTTGTATCCAGAATTTAGTCCCGGTGTAATCTTGAGAGCCTAATAATAATACACGCATGTTGAAAACTTTCAGGGGGTTCTACCGGACGGTTCTATGATCGCGGTGAAGCAGCTGTCTTCCAAGTCAAAGCAAGGAAACCGGGAATTTTTGAATGAGATAGGCATGATATCAGCCCTACAGCACCCGAACCTCGTAAGACTTTTTGGGTGCTGCACCGAAGGGAATCAGTTGCTGCTAATATACGAATACATGGAAAATAACAGCCTTGCCCGAGCCCTATATGGTAACCATGTTACGGTTCGGGTTCTTTGTACCTTGTGCCCGCGACTTTCTAGGATTTACCTCTTTAGATTCATATTGTGTGAGGTTATTGCCAGTATGGTGTGAATGTAACAATCACGGTGTTGACAGGTCCCGAAGGGCTGAAGTTGGAACTGGATTAGCAGACGAGGCGTAAAATTTGCATAGGAATAGCAAGGGGATTGGCCTACCTTCACGAAGAGTCGAGGCTAAAGGTTGTTCATAGAGACATCAAAACGACGAATGTCCTTCTCGATAAGGATCTGAACGCGAAGATATCGGACTTCGGACTGGCTAAACTGGACGAAGAGGAGAATACCCACATCAGCACCCGGATAGCAGGGACCATGTAAGCAAACTCTGTGTCTGAAATAATGGATCTCTCGGCTGTTGGTAGAGTGATATAATTCGAGTTGCATCTCTTCATTCGTTTTGCCGACTGTTCACAGTTGCGACTCATGGGACCTGCAATTGATCATCGATTTATAGTTAGAATCAATGCGCAGCCTTTTTTGTTGTTGTAGTATTATGCTCATTTAGACAAGTTAGTTTCAAGAATGTCGCATTCAAAACTCTTTCTTCGTATCTTATTTTCGTCCTACTCGATCCTGCCTTCAAAAGTGTTTAAGGTTACCACCTCCATCCAACCCACCGTTCAGTTTTTCCTTCTACGACGGCTATCGCATCTCAGCAATTGGTTCTTGTCATCTGAAGGTCCCTGAAGTGGGGAAGCTCCAATTAGTGATTTATTTCAATATGTTGGAGATGAAAAAGACCGGTTTTTGTTTGGTGATGCTGTCTCCTTTACGCTGACGAGCATTTTCCTTGTTTCGTTCCAGGGGTTATATAGCTCCTGAATATGCTTTGAGAGGTTACTTGACGGACAAAGCAGATGTTTACAGCTTTGGAGTGGTCACGTTGGAGATTGTGAGCGGAAAGAGTAACGCCAACTGTCGCATGAAAGAGGATTTCATGTACCTTCTCGATTGGGTATGCGACCTTCGATAACTCTGGACGTACAAGGCCGAGTGCTCAAACCAATTCAGGGTTAAGAGATTTCTTAGCAATGGTTTTTCCATTTTTCTCAGGCCAATGTTCTCCAGGAGAAGGGCGCCCTCCTCGACCTGGTGGACCCCGCCCTGGGTGTCAACTTCTCCACGGAGGAAGCACAGCAGATGCTGGACCTGGCCCTCCTGTGCACCAACCTTACTCCGGCCCTTCGGCCTTCCATGTCCACTGTGGTCGCCATGCTCGAGGACCACACGCCCATTCAGGCCCCGACTATAAAGATCACCCGGACAGAGAGCATGGAGCAGAGGTTTAGGTCCTTGGAGACGATCTCCCAGGATGGGCATAGCCAGGCCGCCACCACGGAAGGGCCGTGCTCAGATTCCACGTTGCCTATGTAGAGAAGCAACAGAGGAGACGACCGCTTCTACTCCACCACAACCCGGCTCCTCGGTGACTGCAAGGATTTCCCCTGGGACAGTGGCTACTCCGAGGACGGGTCATCCCTGGAAAGGCGTTCACAAAAGCTCTCTTGAAATAAAATTCGGAAAGCATCCTCCCTTCTCGGTAAGCTGTCGGAGAGGAATTTGCATAATTTGGATCTGATGCAAGACTGTGATTGGGCCTGGTAGTACGAAGCAATTCATGGCCGACGTTTATAAAAGTTTGGATTTAATAGGTTCACATGTGTGACTTATCTAGCTAGCTTCATGAGCTAAACTTCAAAGAATGGTGTTTCACAGCTAGAGAAGTTTAGCGTGTCTACGTAGTCAAACTAACCAGTGTATCGACCACTATGTCAATCCAAATAAGTCTCTGTAAACTCACTGCTGGTTGTGTTGACCTATTATACCTGCATTTAGTAGATATTATTTTTGAAATTATACAGAATATAAAACAATAAAAAACCAATCCACTCTCCTTATTGACTTCAGAAAAAAGATTTATGAGTGAAATGCATTAGTTGGTTAAAGTTACTAAACAAATGATGAATCATTGCACTCCACTATTGTTTGAGCTTTTTAGTTACGAATACTTGCTAGTACAATCAAAATGGTCGCCTTGACTGGTGATTGATGAGACATGGAGAAATATCGTTAAACGGAGCTACGTTTTAAAACATAAATCATCTTTTTAATAAGATTTTCTTATGGAAAATATCAAAAAGACGAGTTGTCCCTTGACTTCATCAAAAGATGACAGAATCTAACGATTAAATGAGAAAATCTAGAAAACGAAGAAGAATTTGAGGGACGTGTAAAAGAGGGTTGTGCCATAAAGATAATGACAAACCATTAGGTTCTAACATTAAGAGCTTAGGAGACTTTTCCCATGGAACATCATAAGGATAGCCGAGCTAAACCCTGGTGTTTATAAAATAAAAAATGATGTATGAAAGTCAGCTTTGTTCATTGAAACATTACCTTAACAGAAGCTTTTGTTTGAGCTCTGAGACATTACGAAGACGAGGAATTTAATGGGAAAATAAGTTACTCACGAAAAGCATACACAAATTATACGTTTTTCATAAAAACTAACACCATTCTAACTCATTAAAGGACACACGAAGAGGATGAGAATAGTGAGCCTAACTAACATTTACATCCTAAGTCTCTGTTCTCGGTCTATGCCCCATGGTGTAGACTCCATCTCCGGCCGTCCCTCCCTCCGTCCCTCTTACCTGTGCGACGAGATCGCGGGGATTCCCAATCTGCTTCATTGCTCCTCCCCCACCTACCTGTTCTTCTAGCAGGAGGCAACAGGGAAGAGGGCGAGGCGCAAGATGAGAGCGGCTACTCCGGCCGCGCTCGGGGCTCCGGCGGTCCCCCGAGCTCTGCTCCTCCTCTCGGCGGCGACTCTGAATACGTTTGGAACTGGTGTCTCCAGGGGCGGGAAAGCCCACAAGCAGACTCTTCCCGAGGGAAGGTGAGCTGTACCAACGACCACTCTCCATTTTGCTCCCCCCACCCCCTCACCCCCTCACCCAGTTGCTTTGGGCACTGGTACTCCAAGATACCAAGTCACAAGGGAGAAAACCCATGATCTCTCCTAAGATAAGAAAGAGCAGATTCTAAACTGATTGCACCGCCCTCTCTGATGAAGCCGAAGAGATACGATACAGACGAGGAACATGGGGAGGGGAAGACCTGGGGAACCTAGGGAGGGGAAGACTGATGGGTGCCTAATTCGGGGTAGACGTGATTTTGAGGAAGAGGTCCGAGAAGATGAAAAACAGAGTACTGCTATTACCGTTTACTCGGAGAGATCCCTGATTACAGCAATAGGACCATCCATCTCTGAAGAGCTCGAGCGAATTTGAAGGAAATAGGAGAAGATAACACGGATGGGGGTAACAAAGGTCTCCGTCATTACAAGAAGGGATGATCTTTATAGCCCGCCATCGTCCTTTTCGGTCTGTCTATATCTCGACCATTGTTAAGCCGGCTGTTACTATTTGGCTCAATGGCCAGCTCCCCCCCATGCCTGGTCTCCCTGCTCCCGTCTGGATGATCCGATCCTGTCAAGTCCTGGCCCTCCTTGGAACTGCTGTCAGTGACCAGGCCCAACTTCTGCGATCCGAATCAAGGAGGAACACTTTCCATGTGGATGGGGCCCTGATAATAAGGCCTCAACATATTTCCTCTCCACTTTCCACATGGATGGGGCCCTATCTCCTCGATATTCTGGTCCACAGGCTCATACCTTTCCCGCTCTACTGCATCTATTGGTCTCTATGTCTCTCTTTCTCCCTCTCTCTACATCTCTCTTTCTCTCTAATATGCATACAAACCCTCTCCCCTGTTGTCTCTCATCTCGCCTAATGTGATAGATAACGGGTTTGTAGCAGACCATCACACTTAACTGTTCTAAAATCAAACCCTTCTTGAGAAAATATATATTTTCAAGAAATCAATTGGATATTGGCAATTTGGAGAGGCCAATTCGTCGGTCATAGGCTCAATTGAGGCTAAGCAAGTAGCCAAACCCTCTTGATCTCCAAGGGCCCACCCCACAAACAACGTAATCTACTTCCCCTCGAGAAAATGGGAGAAATGTTATTTTCATTATCCAAAAAAATTAAAAATCATTTTCATATTTATAAACCAAAAACGAAAGACTGGGGAAATTAATGGATCTCTGTGCTTGAGCTGGACTACACTGAGCACAAGCCCAGTTTTCTTCAGACCTTGTGTTGAGCTTTGAATCCCAGCCTGACCCTATTCGCTAATCAAGTACGGGGCAGATGTCCTCAATTTTGCGAGATAGATAATAGTAAACTAAATGGTTATTGGAAAATGTACGAACTGCATGCGAACCGCGGCATACGGTGGATGCTCGGAAGAATTTATCTGTGGTCGGGGTGGGGTCATCATATGCCAACGCCACGTTGCTCTTTTGAGAAGTCCCTTGCGTGGTCCCCACAGGAGGGACAAATGCGTGAACTTCATTCACGGTTTTATTTATTTATTGTGAAAAAGCGTTGAAAATTGGGGACAATTAGGGCTCGTGCTCGTTCGATAATTTTAAATATTTTTTTAATATAATAGGTGGGGATCGGCAAGCTTGCATTGACATATTGGGAGTGAGAAAATGATCCTTGGACTGGGTAACAACGGCTCAGAACTGATCCAATTTACATGATACTATGTCGTGGTGACTTATTTAAATACTTTTTGCATTATTTGGAAAATAAATTGCATAGTTTGCATGGAATAGGCGGAAAAATGAAGGTGGACCACTAACAAGATAAGACAAAGCTAGTCCTCCGGGTCTTGATGAATCTCCTTGGGAGGCCGACATAGCTCATGGGATCTCACTGAAGACCTCCATGGCTGCATCAACCTCTCCCTTCAGCTTTTTTTAAGTAAACAGATCAAAAAAGTAACCAGGGGCTAAAAGATACAGCAGGAGGGAGACAAAAGAATGGAGAGGGCACTGGGTTTCATGATCTGCGCCTGATTCTATTGAGAGTCGCAAAGATGAGCTTGCGGACGTGGTCGCAGTTCTCATCCCCAAAGATACAGCTGCCTTATGGCCTCCCTCGTCTCCTCGTCCATGGAAAACAGCTCCACCTTCGATTGTCTCTCTCTCTTCTCCAGATCGAAGCCCTCTGCGCCAGTCTTTCCTGCTTTTTCATCTTCGCATCAAGCTTTGATCGAAGGAGGGCGGATTCATCTTTCAGCATGGAGATGATTCTTCCTTTGTAGTTCAGCCTCATCCCCAGTTCCCTCTTCTCAACCTTCAATCCTTCTTCGGACTGAATCAACGTCTTTATCCACCTCTTCATCAAGATGGCATCATTGGAGCAATCGGAAATGTGGGTGTGGATGTGCCGGCAGTCGCCCTCCAGTCTTAGCTCCAGATCATTAAAGGCCCTACCCAGAGGCTCTATTCCGGGATCCATCATCCCTTTACTTGCCGGAGCTCGCCCTCCATGATATTAATTCTGGATTATAAGGTCGATGACTGTTCTTCTAGCTTTCTGCGTTCTTCATGCAATGCCTCCACTATCCTCTTGTAATCTCTTCCTTTTCCTTGCTTTCCGTTTCGGTTATCTTAAGCTTTCGATTGGATAGGCGGATCTCGACTTCCAGATTTTGAACATCATTAAGCTTCTGCTCAAGAGATAAGAAGTCGGCCTCTTTGTCCTGAAACTGCTTTTCAAGATCAGACAGCTTAACTTGTGAGTCAAGCTGATCCTTATGAAATACACGAATCTCCTTCCTCAGTTGTTCTGCTTCATCTATAATCCTTTTTAGGCTGCTTTCTGATTCCCCGAGTTTGGTTAGTGCCGATGCTTTCTCTGATTCCAGCATGTTTTTTGCTTCTTCGACAGATTCTAGTTTGTGAGCAGGATCATCAATTTTCTCCTTTAAGACAGAATTATCACTTTCGAGGCGTTCTTTATCGGCCTTTAACTCATGCATCTCATTCTCAAATGCTAGTGTCCTGCTCAAAAGGACGGAATTTTCTATGGAAGCTGCCGACTTGTCTTCTCGTAATGCTCGTATTATCTTCCTCAGGTCGGACACTTCACAGGTAGCGGCGGCCTTCTAATTCCGTATTGAGGCCATCATACTTAACCTGCAGCTCAGTCTTCTCAATATTTGATATTTCTAACTCTTTTGACACTATGTCCGCGTTCTCTTGAATCTTTTTTAACTTATTGACAGCCTCATCGTGCTCCAAAGAAAATGACGCTCTCTCATCACCGATGGGTCTCGTCTGCGAGTTCAAGCCTTAATTTTCGCCCAGTAGTCTTGATTTTTCATCTTTCAAGAGTTACACATTCTGTCATCAGTTTTTCGATGGGTGTTTCTCGTGCACTTCCATCTTCAATGTGATCCCTTGCATTTCAGACTTCAGGGTGTTGGCATCTTCCTCAAACGTTAAACATCTCTTGACCAGATCGACCATCTGTTTAGTAGCTGCTTCCTTTTCAGCCTCCAGATTTTCATTCTCTGCCACCAGCTTTGCATTCTCAGCTGACCTTTCATTTGCTATTTTCAAGTACAGGTCAGATTCAGCTCTGAGATCCCTAGCAATTTTATCTGCCAGCTCAATCTTATCTAATAATGTAGCATTTTCAGAGCCTAAGGAGCCTTTTTGTTCATTTTTGGATATTAGTTTCCGATTTAGATCATCCACTGGCAGTACCACAGCTTCCAGTACCTGCTTTAAAACTCTATTTGCATGTTTTCAGATTGATATCTCATATTTCAATCCTTCACCTTCGACTTTGTACGTTTCTACAAGTCCACCTGCCTCTCCCAACTTCTTCAGGACCGTTAAAAATTTTCAAGAATGAGAGCTTCATACTTTTGGCAAATTATAGCTTGTAATCGCATGGATTTCTCTAAATCTTTCCTAAGTTTTCCATTCTCAATCTGGGAGGCAAGAAGGCTTTGTTTGGTACAGTTTAGGTCACCGTTCAAGGTTTGCAATTCTCCCTTCACGCTGGCATTCTCATTCCTTTCTCTCTCTCTCTCTCTCTCTCTCTCTCTCTCTCTCTTACTCACTCGCTCACTCACTCTCACTCTCAGCCGTGCAGTCGATTAAGAGAGAACGAGAGTAGCGAGGCCCGCCTCAGCTCTTCTCGTGAGAGTGGGGAGCGAACTCCGAGTCTCGTTGGACCGGAGAGCTAACTGTACCATACGTGTCTGTACGATAATTACGAAGGTGAGTCAAATAAACTACAGGCTATGACTCGTTCCTCCGATCCGAAACTACAGGCTATTCCGAAGCATCTTCTTCGACGAGGGTCAGCTTCTCTCTCGAGATGGGTACAGAAAATATTCAAGCTCTAGACTGGATGGCTGGGGAAGATAATCACAGGCTTAAGATGACGAATAAATTGACGATGTACTCGGTAATCTAGGAGGATGGTGAGCAGGATTAGTTTCGTTGCTGTTTTGGGAGTTTGCTGATCTCGTGCGGTGGGACTCCGGGCGTCTCTGACTTTGACTCGACGAGCTTCTTTTGCACCCCACGTGTGTCGTTAGAAAGGAAATCTGTCTCCCGAGATGTAGCCGCTCTCATTTATGTCCGCGGGCCCAAACCCAAAACTGTCTGAATATGGCCACAGCCACAACAAGATACGAACAAGTGTCCCAACGATATTTTAAGTAATGGGCAAACTTTCCTTACAACCGACCTTCTTATGATCTCCATGCAGCGTAGCTTTAACACGACGAATCTACGCAACGTTCTATGACCTTCTTCAACACAGGCGCCGTACGGCGATTGTTGTCCCTCGCCGACTTGGCTCTCATCTTCGTCGAAAGACAAGCATCGCCCCTCATTGGCCATGATAGCGCTCTACTTGTGTAAAGTGGAGAATTTGTGGAACTATAAGATACCGACCAATATAGATAAGAGCAGCATAAATTAATTCAGAAACCATAGTGAAAGCTCTTGCCGAGTACTTACCCTACATGAAAATGGATACTGGTGGGGATAAACTCTTAGTAAAAGTGAATTCTCAAAATGCAGGGTTACAATTGGAAACCCATAATCCACACTGCAATAGTGTGAATGAATAGTTATGTCATAAATGTGGTATAAATAGATATACTTTGCACAGGTAATATAAAAAAATGACAAAAATCAATAAAAGACGCTTCTGGCCAACAAATAATGTTCAGATATTCAAGAAACCGGGCAATTAATATGAGTCGAAAAAATCAATAGCTTTTATGTTCGGATAGTTTGTCATTCTTCTATTTTGAAGATTCATGATTTTAATATCTCTGTCAATAGAGACTTGGTAAAATTCGCAAGCATGAAACTTCCTTTAGAAAAACAAGATACAGAAAATCAGCACAATCGTGATTTAATGTTCCAAGAAGCTTGTCTCACAACTCCTATCTAAACATTGATCATGTTAAAATACTCCTACAAGATTAAAAAGTAAAAATCCAGGGTTGTACCGCTGTCGATAACTGTTCCTTTTCTCTCACCAATATCAAATATATCGGAAGGAAGTTGAAGAAATTTCCCTTCAATCTCAATAGCCTTCATATTGACGTTATAGTGTGGCCTACAAAATTTATAAATACATGTCATTGAAGAACAAAGCCCTCCACGTACATGTCATTGAAGAAGTTAAATAGAAACAAGTTGAGTCCCATATTGTAGTTGGAGTAGCAGAAAGAAATCTCAAGTTACAATAATAAATAATAAATAACCAAAGTTCAAGAATTGTGTCGCCTATAATTATGAACCTTCCAAAATTTTCAGGTCATGAGTCATTTATTAATACTAAATGTGGTCACATATGAAATTTGGAAGATTTAGATGTGCAAGTTGGAAATCTTATTCTCAACCATTCCTTGGGTACTCCCAATTGCTGGATTAAGCTATGTAAAAATGAGATTTCAATCTGGTAAAGGAAGTAAAAGTCAACTTGTAATAGAGCCTAATTATCTTTTAGGAGTATGCACTCACATCTAGACTAAGAACTCACAATGAGCTAACGCTACACTTTTGAGTTCACTGTTTTATGATATGTATAATGTGAAATAGGAAAAACGAGAAGGATCAACTCACAATAATAACAATGATATAAGAAATTTTATAAGGACACCCTTCTACATCCAATGACGATGACATATTAATCGGCTGGAACCCGAGGTGCCGTACGGGGACTATTCTCCCCTCGCGGACTTGTCAACATTACTCCTCGTTGGTCAGGATGGAGATTATATCTCAAGAAAACTGTGGATTTCCATGAGATTCGGTCCATTAACCGTTTTCGTCCTACCGGGTCCATTAATGTCCTGTTACCATCTGTGAGATTCGGTCCGACCGTTTTCCTGAGATCTCGGGAAACGTGCCATGGAACCTCGACAACGGTTCGTTAACCGTTTTCGTCTGAGCCTATCTGATCATAAATGTGCCGTTCCCATCTGTGATCTGCGAATGAGCTGTTGTTTCTCCGTCTCACATTATACTCCTGCATTAAATGGGCCGTTGACGAGCCACGTTAATGACACTCACCGCGGAAATCGCTGGAACACAGGCGCCGTACGGCGATTGTTGTCCCTCGCCGACTTGGCTCTCATCTTCGTCGAAAGACAAACATCGCCCCTCATTGGCCAACCGAATTTATCTTTTCACCGAATTTTGGCTTTGACTTTCGTACCTATGGCTCGACAATCGAGGAGATATGCCGGGACGACGATAGACTGTCGTTGTTCTTCCCGCCGCAATCGAGTCTGTCTCGACGGAGAGTCGGAGCTGTAGTGGATGGGAAATCTCCACGTTCCTCTGGTCGTAGATTTCTGAAGCCATTTCCGTCCTCGTTCCCCTATAAAGGGCGGGTCTTCCCCTTCTCAGGTTCCTCAGACTGTCAATCAGGTTCCTTGGTTGTCTGTATCATATCTCTTCCGCTTCATCGGAGAGGGCGGTATCATCAGTCTAAGCAACTGGGGGGCGGGGTTGGCCGTCTCTCTTCGGTTGTAGGCTTTCGGAGAGGAGTGACAGCTTGGTCTTCCGCCTTTCCCTGTGAGGGCTCCTCTCGCTCCCTGAAATTACTACTCTCTCTCTCTCTCTCTCTCTCTCTCTCGCTAATTCGATTCTAATGGCAGCCACTGCTCGCGGCCTTGCTCCCACTGTTCCGCCCATTCCTGCTGATCATAGGGCTGTTTCTTCGTACATTGCTTTAACTCTTTGCTTCTGACGCGGATTTAGAGATCACGTGTCTCTCCACCTTCCTTGATTGAAACCCCTCATGCAACGAGGGCAGAGCCCGGCCGAGTCCCCCCTTTCCTTCCAGGGTGTCCTGCGGAGAATAACTCACCCCGGAGATGCCTTCGGTGACATCCGACTGTAGATGTCGCAGTTTATCCAATTGGGCATTCGATGGGTTCGGAGAGTGTTTTCTCTTGCCTCTGCCCCACTCCCTGATCAGACTCTGGCCCTGCTTGCTCTCGTCTCTTCGCAGCCGACGAGGGACCCTGGTCGTCGCAAACGTCTAGAACTCACCTGCGAGAGATTTTTCGATTCCCGGCGGTCGTTTTCTCCTCGGGTTTCAACCAGCCGTTCTTTGCTGAAGCTTCGGATATCTGTGAAAAGCCGAGCTGGCCGCCGCATCGCGGGGATTTCGATCAATTCTCTCTCTTGCTCGCTCAGATTTCGTCCCAACTCGGCACGTCCTTCGCATTTCAAGGCTATGAAGACTCGCTGACGACTGAAAGATTTTCTCTTTCCAGGGCCTGCTTTTTTCTCAAGCCCTTCGGAGAAGATGGGAATCTTTCACCAGGATGCCGTCATCGAGGAGTTCGAAGCGCTGACCAACAACGTGGGGAAGGTCCAGAGGGAGACCCTCAAGATGATCCTCGAAGAGAATAGCGAAGCGGAATACCTGCAGAGCCTGGGGCTGGGAGGGCGAACCGATCCCGAGAGCTTCAAGGCCTGCGTTCCCCTCGTCTCCCACCCTGATCTGGAAAGCTATATTCGCAGAATTGCAGCTGGGGAGTCTTCTCCCATTCTCACTGGGAAGCCCATAACATCCATTACCTATACGTAAGACCTTCCCGCTGACATGTCCACGGGTGCTGGGCCTAGTTCATTTCCCCAGCTGGGATTTATTATCTGCTGCTTCTGACATTACTTGTGCTGTCCGACGCTTCCAGCTCTGGAACCACCCAAGGGAGGCCCAAGTACGTCCCTTTCAATGACTTTCTGATTCAGAATACGATGCAGGCATTCCGAACGTCGTTTGCTTTCAGAAACAAGTAAGCGGCTCATCTCTCTCCTTTAAGAGTTTAGGTATTCTTCTAGTTTCGATGATCTATTTTTCTCTCCTCCTTTTTTATTCGTCTGCCTCGAGTTTGAACTGGGTGATTTCTGGACGAGGTCTGCAGTCTGATTACCCCGTTCGGTGGCTTGTGTTTTCTAATCGACTGGAGCTGCACCGGGAGAGGCTTAGCCGTTGGGTTCTCGAGTTTTTTTCTCTTTTTTTGAAGTCGATTTTCCCTGAACTTGAGATCTACCTTTCGTGAGCGATTTTCCAAGAAATCCCATTTCCATTTTTGGGGTTCACTTTGTCGGTATCCCTCGTCGGACTCAGTGAAGAGAGTGCGGGGTATAATCTAGTTTCTTTCCCAAAAATATTCATCGCGTCCCCCCAGATATTCATTTAATCGACTGTGATCCCATGGCGGTTCTGCTCTCTCTTGGATCCGCCGGCTGGTTGTAAAAACTTGAGCAGTACCACCGTCAAGTGCATTGTTAAATAATCAGTAGTCCAACGGCGCTGATTCTGTGAAGGCGTACGATGTTCCTCGAGAGTTCTCTTGAATGGATGCCCGACCCGTTTTCGTTCTGTTTTCTAGGGTGTTCCCCCTTGGAGATGGAAGAGCCCTGCAGTTCATCTACGGCAGCCAGGAAGTTCGGACGAGCGGGGGCATCGTGGCCTTCAACGGCACCACAAACATCTTCCGCAGTGAGCAATTCAAGCGCACCATGAGAGACACCCAGTCTCAGACCTGCAGCCCCTATGAAGTCATCTTCGGCCGTAGCTTCGAGCAGTCCCTCTACTGCCATCTCTTATGCGGGCTTCTCTCATACCAGGAGGTCCAGTTCGTCTCTTCCTCCTTCGCCCACTGCATCGTCCAGGCATTCAGAACGTTCGAGCTTATCTGGGAAGAGCTCTGCGCGAACATCAGGGATGGGGTCCTCTCTAGCAAGATCACGGACCCTTCCATGAAGGCCGCCGTCTCCAAGCTGCTGACCCCCAATCCCCGGCTGGCGGACGAGATCTACACCAAATGCAAGGGCCTGAGCAACTGGTTTGGGTTGATCCCCGCGCTCTGGCCGAACGCGAAATACGTCTATGGCGTAATGACCGGGTCGATGGAGCCATATCTGAAGAAGCTGAGACATTATGCCGGGGATCTCCCGCTCTTGAGTGCCGATTATGGGTCGTCGGAGGGCATGATCGGGGTTAACATCAATCCTGAGCTTCCCCCTGAGGAGGTGAGGTTCGCGGTGATCCCCGACATCGGGTACTTCGAGTTCATCCCCATTGCGACGAAGAGCGGGGAGAAGCCGGCCGTAGAAGCTGAGCCGATCGGTCTCGAGGAGATCGAGCTCGGGAAGGAGTACGAAGTCATAATCACGAACTTCGCCGGTGAGTGTTGCAGGCGTCGACTGTTATCGGTAGATAAATGAGGATTTGTCGTAGGAGAAAGTGTTCCAATCTTCCTTCCTGTTGTTTCGCGTGGTGGTGCAGGTCTGTACAGGTACAGGCTGGGAGATGTGGTGAGGGTGGGGGGCTTCCACAACAGCACGCCGGAGCTCCAGTTCGTGTGCCGCCGCGGCCTGGTGCTCAACGTCAACGTAGACAAGAACACGGAGAGGGACCTGCAGCTGGCGGTGCAGGAGGCCTCCAAGCTGGCGGCGGCTGAGAAGCTGGAGGTCGTCGATTTCTCCAGCTGCGTTGACCGCTCGGCGGAACCCGGTCACTATGTCATCTTCTGGGAGCTCTGCGGCGAGGCCAGGGAAAGCGTCCTCCGCAGCTGTGCGGACTGTTTGGACCGCTCCTTCTTAGACGCCGGTTACAAGTGCTCGAGGAAGGCGAAGGGCATCGCCCCACTGGAGCTCCGCATAGTCCGGCCAGGCACCTTCCGTAAGGTCCTCAAGCACTACACCAACCAGGGCGCTGCCATGAGCCAGTTCAAGAACCCGCGCTTCGTCGGCGCCACCAACGCGGCGGTCCTCCGCATCCTCTGCGACGGCGTCGTCCAGAGCTTCTCCAGCACGGCCTACGACTGAGGCGGCCGTCGCAGGGTTGTTGTAACCACTACAAGCGTGTGGGCTGTGATCAGTGGTGGGAGCTCGCTCATCGTCGAGGTCGGCGCCGCATCTTCCCACCGTCTGGCCCGTCCATCGAGCCATCCATTGCACGTGAATGGGATGTCGTAAGGAAAGCTGACTCCCGTGATATTTCTGGTCGTAGGACGTTGCGTAGATTCGTCGTGTTAAAGCTACGCTGCATGGAGATCATAAGAAGGTCGGTTGTAAGGAAAGTTTGCCCATTACTTAAAATATCGTTGGGACACTTGTTCGTATCTTGTTGTGGCTGTGGCCATATTCAGACAGTTTTGGGTTTGGGCCCGCGGACATAAATGAGAGCGGCTACATCTCGGGAGACAGATTTCCTTTCTAACGACACACGTGGGGTGCAAAAGAAGCTCGTCAAGTCAAAGTCAGAGACGCCCGGAGTCCCACCGCACGATATCAGCAAACTCCCAAAACAGCAACGAAACTAATCCTGCTCACCATCCTCCTAGATTACCGAGTACATCGTCAATTTATTCGTCATCTTAAGCCTGTGATTATCTTCCCCAGCCATCCAGTCTAGAGCTTGAATATTTTCTGTACCCATCTCGAGAGAGAAGCTGACCCTCGTCGAAGAAGATGCTTCGGAATAGCCTGTAGTTTCGGATCGGAGGAACGAGTCATAGCCTGTAGTTTATTTGACTCACCTTCGTAATTATCGTACAGACACGTATGGTACAGTTAGCTCTCCGGTCCAACGAGACTCGGAGTTCGCTCCCCACTCTCACGAGAAGAGCTGAGGCGGGCCTCGCTACTCTCGTTCTCTCTTAATCGACTGCACGGCTGAGAGTGAGAGTGAGTGAGCGAGTGAGTAAGAGAGAGAGAGAGAGAGAGAGAGAGAGAGAGAGAGAAAGGAATGAGAATGCCAGCGTGAAGGGAGAATTGCAAACCTTGAACGGTGACCTAAACTGTACCAAACAAAGCCTTCTTGCCTCCCAGATTGAGAATGGAAAACTTAGGAAAGATTTAGAGAAATCCATGCGATTACAAGCTATAATTTGCCAAAAGTATGAAGCTCTCATTCTTGAAAATTTTTAACGGTCCTGAAGAAGTTGGGAGAGGCAGGTGGACTTGTAGAAACGTACAAAGTCGAAGGTGAAGGATTGAAATATGAGATATCAATCTGAAAACATGCAAATAGAGTTTTAAAGCAGGTACTGGAAGCTGTGGTACTGCCAGTGGATGATCTAAATCGGAAACTAATATCCAAAAATGAACAAAAAGGCTCCTTAGGCTCTGAAAATGCTACATTATTAGATAAGATTGAGCTGGCAGATAAAATTGCTAGGGATCTCAGAGCTGAATCTGACCTGTACTTGAAAATAGCAAATGAAAGGTCAGCTGAGAATGCAAAGCTGGTGGCAGAGAATGAAAATCTGGAGGCTGAAAAGGAAGCAGCTACTAAACAGATGGTCGATCTGGTCAAGAGATGTTTAACGTTTGAGGAAGATGCCAACACCCTGAAGTCTGAAATGCAAGGGATCACATTGAAGATGGAAGTGCACGAGAAACACCCATCGAAAAACTGATGACAGAATGTGTAACTCTTGAAAGATGAAAAATCAAGACTACTGGGCGAAAATTAAGGCTTGAACTCGCAGACGAGACCCATCGGTGATGAGAGAGCGTCATTTTCTTTGGAGCACGATGAGGCTGTCAATAAGTTAAAAAAGATTCAAGAGAACGCGGACATAGTGTCAAAAGAGTTAGAAATATCAAATATTGAGAAGACTGAGCTGCAGGTTAAGTATGATGGCCTCAATACGGAATTAGAAGGCCGCCGCTACCTGTGAAGTGTCCGACCTGAGGAAGATAATACGAGCATTACGAGAAGACAAGTCGGCAGCTTCCATAGAAAATTCCGTCCTTTTGAGCAGGACACTAGCATTTGAGAATGAGATGCATGAGTTAAAGGCCGATAAAGAACGCCTCGAAAGTGATAATTCTGTCTTAAAGGAGAAAATTGATGATCCTGCTCACAAACTAGAATCTGTCGAAGAAGCAAAAAACATGCTGGAATCAGAGAAAGCATCGGCACTAACCAAACTCGGGGAATCAGAAAGCAGCCTAAAAAGGATTATAGATGAAGCAGAACAACTGAGGAAGGAGATTCGTGTATTTCATAAGGATCAGCTTGACTCACAAGTTAAGCTGTCTGATCTTGAAAAGCAGTTTCAGGACAAAGAGGCCGACTTCTTATCTCTTGAGCAGAAGCTTAATGATGTTCAAAATCTGGAAGTCGAGATCCGCCTATCCAATCGAAAGCTTAAGATAACCGAAACGGAAAGCAAGGAAAAGGAAGAGATTACAAGAGGATAGTGGAGGCATTGCATGAAGAACGCAGAAAGCTAGAAGAACAGTCATCGACCTTATAATCCAGAATTAATATCATGGAGGGCGAGCTCCGGCAAGTAAAGGGATGATGGATCCCGGAATAGAGCCTCTGGGTAGGGCCTTTAATGATCTGGAGCTAAGACTGGAGGGCGACTGCCGGCACATCCACACCCACATTTCCGATTGCTCCAATGATGCCATCTTGATGAAGAGGTGGATAAAGACGTTGATTCAGTCCGAAGAAGGATTGAAGGTTGAGAAGAGGGAACTGGGGATGAGGCTGAACTACAAAGGAAGAATCATCTCCATGCTGAAAGATGAATCCGCCCTCCTTCGATCAAAGCTTGATGCGAAGATGAAAAAGCAGGAAAGACTGGCGCAGAGGGCTTCGATCTGGAGAAGAGAGAGAGACAATCGAAGGTGGAGCTGTTTTCCATGGACGAGGAGACGAGGGAGGCCATAAGGCAGCTGTATCTTTGGGGATGAGAACTGCGACCACGTCCGCAAGCTCATCTTTGCGACTCTCAATAGAATCAGGCGCAGATCATGAAACCCAGTGCCCTCTCCATTCTTTTGTCTCCCTCCTGCTGTATCTTTTAGCCCCTGGTTACTTTTTTGATCTGTTTACTTAAAAAAAGCTGAAGGGAGAGGTTGATGCAGCCATGGAGGTCTTCAGTGAGATCCCATGAGCTATGTCGGCCTCCCAAGGAGATTCATCAAGACCCGGAGGACTAGCTTTGTCTTATCTTGTTAGTGGTCCACCTTCATTTTTCCGCCTATTCCATGCAAACTATGCAATTTATTTTCCAAATAATGCAAAAAGTATTTAAATAAGTCACCACGACATAGTATCATGTAAATTGGATCAGTTCTGAGCCGTTGTTACCCAGTCCAAGGATCATTTTCTCACTCCCAATATGTCAATGCAAGCTTGCCGATCCCCACCTATTATATTAAAAAAATATTTAAAATTATCGAACGAGCACGAGCCCTAATTGTCCCCAATTTTCAACGCTTTTTCACAATAAATAAATAAAACCGTGAATGAAGTTCACGCATTTGTCCCTCCTGTGGGGACCACGCAAGGGACTTCTCAAAAGAGCAACGTGGCGTTGGCATATGATGACCCCACCCCGACCACAGATAAATTCTTCCGAGCATCCACCGTATGCCGCGGTTCGCATGCAGTTCGTACATTTTCCAATAACCATTTAGTTTACTATTATCTATCTCGCAAAATTGAGGACATCTGCCCCGTACTTGATTAGCGAATAGGGTCAGGCTGGGATTCAAAGCTCAACACAAGGTCTGAAGAAAACTGGGCTTGTGCTCAGTGTAGTCCAGCTCAAGCACAGAGATCCATTAATTTCCCCAGTCTTTCGTTTTTGGTTTATAAATATGAAAATGATTTTTAATTTTTTTGGATAATGAAAATAACATTTCTCCCATTTTCTCGAGGGGAAGTAGATTACGTTGTTTGTGGGGTGGGCCCTTGGAGATCAAGAGGGTTTGGCTACTTGCTTAGCCTCAATTGAGCCTATGACCGACGAATTGGCCTCTCCAAATTGCCAATATCCAATTGATTTCTTGAAAATATATATTTTCTCAAGAAGGGTTTGATTTTAGAACAGTTAAGTGTGATGGTCTGCTACAAACCCGTTATCTATCACATTAGGCGAGATGAGAGACAACAGGGGAGAGGGTTTGTATGCATATTAGAGAGAAAGAGAGATGTAGAGAGAGGGAGAAAGAGAGACATAGAGACCAATAGATGCAGTAGAGCGGGAAAGGTATGAGCCTGTGGACCAGAATATCGAGGAGATAGGGCCCCATCCATGTGGAAAGTGGAGAGGAAATATGTTGAGGCCTTATTATCAGGGCCCCATCCACATGGAAAGTGTTCCTCCTTGATTCGGATCGCAGAAGTTGGGCCTGGTCACTGACAGCAGTTCCAAGGAGGGCCAGGACTTGACAGGATCGGATCATCCAGACGGGAGCAGGGAGACCAGGCATGGGGGGGAGCTGGCCATTGAGCCAAATAGTAACAGCCGGCTTAACAATGGTCGAGATATAGACAGACCGAAAAGGACGATGGCGGGCTATAAAGATCATCCCTTCTTGTAATGACGGAGACCTTTGTTACCCCCATCCGTGTTATCTTCTCCTATTTCCTTCAAATTCGCTCGAGCTCTTCAGAGATGGATGGTCCTATTGCTGTAATCAGGGATCTCTCCGAGTAAACGGTAATAGCAGTACTCTGTTTTTCATCTTCTCGGACCTCTTCCTCAAAATCACGTCTACCCCGAATTAGGCACCCATCAGTCTTCCCCTCCCTAGGTTCCCCAGGTCTTCCCCTCCCCATGTTCCTCGTCTGTATCGTATCTCTTCGGCTTCATCAGAGAGGGCGGTGCAATCAGTTTAGAATCTGCTCTTTCTTATCTTAGGAGAGATCATGGGTTTTCTCCCTTGTGACTTGGTATCTTGGAGTACCAGTGCCCAAAGCAACTGGGTGAGGGGGTGAGGGGGTGGGGGGAGCAAAATGGAGAGTGGTCGTTGGTACAGCTCACCTTCCCTCGGGAAGAGTCTGCTTGTGGGCTTTCCCGCCCCTGGAGACACCAGTTCCAAACGTATTCAGAGTCGCCGCCGAGAGGAGGAGCAGAGCTCGGGGGACCGCCGGAGCCCCGAGCGCGGCCGGAGTAGCCGCTCTCATCTTGCGCCTCGCCCTCTTCCCTGTTGCCTCCTGCTAGAAGAACAGGTAGGTGGGGGAGGAGCAATGAAGCAGATTGGGAATCCCCGCGATCTCGTCGCACAGGTAAGAGGGACGGAGGGAGGGACGGCCGGAGATGGAGTCTACACCATGGGGCATAGACCGAGAACAGAGACTTAGGATGTAAATGTTAGTTAGGCTCACTATTCTCATCCTCTTCGTGTGTCCTTTAATGAGTTAGAATGGTGTTAGTTTTTATGAAAAACGTATAATTTGTGTATGCTTTTCGTGAGTAACTTATTTTCCCATTAAATTCCTCGTCTTCGTAATGTCTCAGAGCTCAAACAAAAGCTTCTGTTAAGGTAATGTTTCAATGAACAAAGCTGACTTTCATACATCATTTTTTATTTTATAAACACCAGGGTTTAGCTCGGCTATCCTTATGATGTTCCATGGGAAAAGTCTCCTAAGCTCTTAATGTTAGAACCTAATGGTTTGTCATTATCTTTATGGCACAACCCTCTTTTACACGTCCCTCAAATTCTTCTTCGTTTTCTAGATTTTCTCATTTAATCGTTAGATTCTGTCATCTTTTGATGAAGTCAAGGGACAACTCGTCTTTTTGATATTTTCCATAAGAAAATCTTATTAAAAAGATGATTTATGTTTTAAAACGTAGCTCCGTTTAACGATATTTCTCCATGTCTCATCAATCACCAGTCAAGGCGACCATTTTGATTGTACTAGCAAGTATTCGTAACTAAAAAGCTCAAACAATAGTGGAGTGCAATGATTCATCATTTGTTTAGTAACTTTAACCAACTAATGCATTTCACTCATAAATCTTTTTTCTGAAGTCAATAAGGAGAGTGGATTGGTTTTTTATTGTTTTATATTCTGTATAATTTCAAAAATAATATCTACTAAATGCAGGTATAATAGGTCAACACAACCAGCAGTGAGTTTACAGAGACTTATTTGGATTGACATAGTGGTCGATACACTGGTTAGTTTGACTACGTAGACACGCTAAACTTCTCTAGCTGTGAAACACCATTCTTTGAAGTTTAGCTCATGAAGCTAGCTAGATAAGTCACACATGTGAACCTATTAAATCCAAACTTTTATAAACGTCGGCCATGAATTGCTTCGTACTACCAGGCCCAATCACAGTCTTGCATCAGATCCAAATTATGCAAATTCCTCTCCGACAGCTTACCGAGAAGGGAGGATGCTTTCCGAATTTTATTTCAAGAGAGCTTTTGTGAACGCCTTTCCAGGGATGACCCGTCCTCGGAGTAGCCACTGTCCCAGGGGAAATCCTTGCAGTCACCGAGGAGCCGGGTTGTGGTGGAGTAGAAGCGGTCGTCTCCTCTGTTGCTTCTCTACATAGGCAACGTGGAATCTGAGCACGGCCCTTCCGTGGTGGCGGCCTGGCTATGCCCATCCTGGGAGATCGTCTCCAAGGACCTAAACCTCTGCTCCATGCTCTCTGTCCGGGTGATCTTTATAGTCGGGGCCTGAATGGGCGTGTGGTCCTCGAGCATGGCGACCACAGTGGACATGGAAGGCCGAAGGGCCGGAGTAAGGTTGGTGCACAGGAGGGCCAGGTCCAGCATCTGCTGTGCTTCCTCCGTGGAGAAGTTGACACCCAGGGCGGGGTCCACCAGGTCGAGGAGGGCGCCCTTCTCCTGGAGAACATTGGCCTGAGAAAAATGGAAAAACCATTGCTAAGAAATCTCTTAACCCTGAATTGGTTTGAGCACTCGGCCTTGTACGTCCAGAGTTATCGAAGGTCGCATACCCAATCGAGAAGGTACATGAAATCCTCTTTCATGCGACAGTTGGCGTTACTCTTTCCGCTCACAATCTCCAACGTGACCACTCCAAAGCTGTAAACATCTGCTTTGTCCGTCAAGTAACCTCTCAAAGCATATTCAGGAGCTATATAACCCCTGGAACGAAACAAGGAAAATGCTCGTCAGCGTAAAGGAGACAGCATCACCAAACAAAAACCGGTCTTTTTCATCTCCAACATATTGAAATAAATCACTAATTGGAGCTTCCCCACTTCAGGGACCTTCAGATGACAAGAACCAATTGCTGAGATGCGATAGCCGTCGTAGAAGGAAAAACTGAACGGTGGGTTGGATGGAGGTGGTAACCTTAAACACTTTTGAAGGCAGGATCGAGTAGGACGAAAATAAGATACGAAGAAAGAGTTTTGAATGCGACATTCTTGAAACTAACTTGTCTAAATGAGCATAATACTACAACAACAAAAAAGGCTGCGCATTGATTCTAACTATAAATCGATGATCAATTGCAGGTCCCATGAGTCGCAACTGTGAACAGTCGGCAAAACGAATGAAGAGATGCAACTCGAATTATATCACTCTACCAACAGCCGAGAGATCCATTATTTCAGACACAGAGTTTGCTTACATGGTCCCTGCTATCCGGGTGCTGATGTGGGTATTCTCCTCTTCGTCCAGTTTAGCCAGTCCGAAGTCCGATATCTTCGCGTTCAGATCCTTATCGAGAAGGACATTCGTCGTTTTGATGTCTCTATGAACAACCTTTAGCCTCGACTCTTCGTGAAGGTAGGCCAATCCCCTTGCTATTCCTATGCAAATTTTACGCCTCGTCTGCTAATCCAGTTCCAACTTCAGCCCTTCGGGACCTGTCAACACCGTGATTGTTACATTCACACCATACTGGCAATAACCTCACACAATATGAATCTAAAGAGGTAAATCCTAGAAAGTCGCGGGCACAAGGTACAAAGAACCCGAACCGTAACATGGTTACCATATAGGGCTCGGGCAAGGCTGTTATTTTCC